GAGAGAGAGAGAGAGGAGGAGGAGGCGGTGGGGGCGGGGGGGTGGGGGGGGGGGAGGAAGGGCAAACATCGAGGAGGAGGAGCAGGAGAATGATGATAATGATGACGATAACAGAGAAGGAGAAGAAGAGGAGGAGAACGATGACGATAGGAGGAGGGAGAGAAGAGAACGATGATGATAGCATGAGAAGGGGGAGAGCGTCTGCCTCGAAGTCTTCGTAGGCGACGGTGGCGAGGAGGGAGCCGGTCGCGTCCTTCACGGCGATGTCGAAGATACACACATACTGACGCTCCAGCCGTGACCACCGAACAAACTCGGAGGCCTAAGACCAGCTGGTCACAGGCTGGAGTCGTCAACGGCCAGTCACCTTCCGCGGGGAGAAGCTTTCGCACATCACTCGGCATCGGAACTTGCCGCAAGGTTCCTCCCTAACCGCCTGGAGGATCTGAGGGAGGAGTGAGAGAGGAGAGAGGCACAGCAGGGAAGACGAGCCTGCGCGATGGAGCTGAGAGGAGCTGCGCCGAACCATGCGCTGGTCGCCATGTTTATCGGCTGCTCGCCCCGTCTCGCTCTCTTGGGGCGCGAGGGCCCGGCGACATTCTCCTCGAGGGCCAGCCCTTGCTCTCCCGCCGCTCCCCCTCCACTAGGGCCAGCGGCCTGAGAGACTCGTCGGTCGTACTCCGCTTTCAGCTTGCAGATCTGGGGAAGTCAGCTGGGAACGAGCTGGGGAGGGCCTCGTCACCTTCCAGTGCACGCTTGGCAGAGTCATGACAGAGGACTTGTCGCTCAAGATCCCCATCAAGACCCTCTTGTTCCCGTCGTTGACCTCCACCCCTTGCAGTCTCTACGGCAGCGTCACACACTCCAGTCACACTCTGAGTCCCCGGCGGCCCGGGCCCCCTACCAGGTTCCGGATCTTGCACCACCACTCCCGGTCGCTCGCTCTCTTTGCGCTCCCTTGGAACTTGATAGACTGGATCAGCTCGTTGTGCAGGGCCTTGACCTCAAGCCCGATCACTAGTAAGGACCCTAGGCTCGGCACGGCCCCGTCGAAGGGAAGCCCTGGATGATGCTGGAGCAGCTCCATCCGCTCGCTCACCTCCTCCCCGCTCTTGAGGTTCTGGTTCAGGTTGTTCTCCAGCTGCTGCAGCGGAAGATCCGAACCATCCCACACCTGCCGGGTCATGTGAGCAGGTCGGTCGCAGCAGGGCAGCGGCGGGTCAACCCTGAAGTACATCCAGCCGTTGTCGGACGGGAGCTGTGAGTTCAAGGAGCAGTAGATGTCGAACGGCTTGTCGAGGTCTGTGATGTGGCAAAGTTTCTTCACGTACTCGTCCTGACCTGCGTCTTCTCGCTACTATCAGGTCGAGGAGCAAGACTTCACATCCGATTGCCTGAGTTGGGAGGGAGAGTTGCTAGGAAATTCTCGCCCCAAGCCGAAAGCTCCATCACTGACTTGCGATCTCCCGGCCGGGGGATGAACTTGGTATCTCCGCTCTTGTGCGTACGGCACTGGTATGGCTGGATGTCCTCCTCCACCTCATCAGAGTCGTAGTCAACCTCCTTGCCTGCCGAACGCGTCACTGCTGCCGTCGTCCCTGAGCAAGAGCAAGTCTACCATGGAAGTCGCTCGGGGAGAACAAGCAGAAGTTACATCCTGGCCCTCGTTGCACCTGCAGCCCGCCATCGAACTCTACGACTTTGACGCGATGGATCCTGATAACGTCTCCTATGCTCCGCACGACCTTGCTTCGTGTCACCACAGCTGGAAACGAGGTGGACGAGAGTTACCGGGCTTGACTTCTCGTCCATGAACAGGTTGATGCGCACGCCCTTCGGCATGGTCTCGTCCACAACCTGCGGCTGCTCAGGAGGAGGAGGAAGGGACTCGAAGTGTCACCGTCAGGGTAGTGCAGAAGTCAGGTCCCTTGGTCTTCTTGGGATGAGAGTAGTCTACAACTATCCCGTAGAAATTCAGTCGATTGGGCTCTTGAGCTGGCGCGTTCTGGCAAGCTTGTGAGTGAGGAGCACGAGGGAGGACAGAAACAGCTACAGCTGCAGAGGAGGAGGAAGCTTCGTTCTCGTGCCTGCCAATCAGTGGGTTCTTTGAGTTGCCTTCCACGAACTTTTCAAGTTCATTGAGCTTCGCATAGACGATAGGAGCTGGGTCTTTCTGCTTCTTCCCGACTTTCCTCCTCACTCTCTCCCATTCCTTCTCATTGATCTGTACATCCAAGGTCTTGTCATTGATCTCCACCTCCCATCCGTTGTTATCGCAGAAGAGTCTCCGCCCCGTGTCCGGGTCGGCATTGTCCACATGCAGTTCAAAGACTCCGTCTTTGAACAAGCTTGCGGGATCAAGGTTCAACTGCGACTGAGACTCTTCCATGGGAGATTCTTTTCGGAACCCTGCACAGCAAGTCATCATCAAGTCATCATTAATACATCAGAAGATGTGCATTTGTTCATCTTGTTGTGATCGCCATGGCTCGTACCTCGGCATTCTATGACGTTGCCAACTTTGAGAAACTTGCAAGCATCCGCCCACTGCCAACGGAAGATGAGAAGAGAAGACGTCAGAAGACAAGCACACACGTCATCCCAGAAGAAGATCCTGAGCTCTTCACGGGGAGGGTGCTTCTTGAAAGAACTCTGCTTGTTGGGCCTCTTCCCCTTCTGCTTGTCCTCAGCGCGGGATTCCACGTTGCGCAACATGACCGAGAACTCTCGTCTCTCGACCTGGAGGTGAATTCAGCACGGACACGACGCTGCCTGCAACCTCATACCATCTTGCCGTCAGTTTCCCTTGGCTTCTTGCAAACATAATGATTGAACACAAAAACGATTTCTCCTCGGTAAGTCAGCATTTCGACACAGCTCTAAAGTGCCTGATCGGATTTCTCTACAAGAACGGTAGCCTGTGGCACTTTGACGACGCCATGTCAGGCGTATTCCTGCTCCAAAAGCATCAGGATTAAAATTTCATCTTTGTTCACAACATGTGTTGGAACAAGCAGAAATATCAATGTTGTAGCACTTGCCCATCTCCTTGAGAATCACTCTCCAACATTCTTCCTTCCTCACGTCACTCTTTCCATCCCTGAACCATTCATCGCCTTCCGTTCCCTCCCTCCCTCCTGCCATTCGTCTCCTCGCCATTGTTTTCAAAAGTTCGGCACTGGGAGGGTCTGGGCCCCGGGGCATCCTTCAAAATTAGCTGACTTCTTATCTAAAATAAGAGTACTTGATTTAAAATAAGTACTTTAGCTCTAAAATAAAAGAGATGAGACTTAATCGCTGAGAAGTTAGCTTAAAAATTCTACTTTCAAGCACTATAGCGTTAATTTTAGCTCAGTTCTAGCTTAAATAGTTGATCAAACCTCTTTGAACCGTAAAGAGGTGGACGGTTCGGAACTGAGTTGGACTTAAATCACGTTGTTTCATCAAGAAATTAACCTAATTATGGAAAATTTATCCAAAATTTGTTAAATTTTCATAACTTTTAACTTAATTCTGACAGAAACTTCTTGGGATATTGACCACAATGATTTTTGGAACCATTCGGACTACCCCCTTCTTCGACACCCCATCAACACAATACCACCCCTACAATTTCCCTATTTCTACCCCCTTGAAACCATCATATGTATTACTACTTTGGTACAACTACCCCCTCAGCCCCGCACCCTCTTCCTTTTCTACCCCCCAATTCGTGTACACCCCCACCTACTATTCTTTTACTCCTCCGGCGCATGACTTAGGGGGTGGTCAAGAGAAAGGGGGTCATGTTTTTGATGGAGGGGTGTTTTTGTCCACAGAAGAGAGGGTAGTCAAAACGGGGTCCTATCACCACCCTCTCTAACTGCCATGGTCGTGTAGCGATGCTGGAGCAGCAACCGCAATTTATGCATCCCAAGTCGCCTCCTCCCTCCCTACCCTCCCTGGCTCCTCCCTCCCGATCCTCGTCCTCATCGTCTCCTCCACTCAGCCCTATCCGGGTCAGGGGTTTGAAGCCCCCAATCCCTCCTGAAAGTATGAGCGTGGAGGGAGGAGATGGAGTGAACCCTTTGAGCGCAAGAGCGTCAAGAGACGGACCCGGGTGGCTGAGTATGCTCGTGGAACTCAAAGGAAGAATAGGAGAACTCGAGGCTCAGGTGGGGCAGATCAACAGGGAGAAGATGTCTTTGAAGAATGAAATATCACAATTGAAAGAGGGAAATCGACGAGCGCAGATGGCAGAGCAGAGCTCTTCAAGTCGGCTGCAGGCTGATGTACGTGAGGTCAGGAACACCTTGAAAGAAAAGACCTACGATCTGAATGAGAAGATGGCCACGTTCGAGAAGAGGATGTTTGCTGAGATACAAGCATGCCGCAAGGACTCGTTGGATGTAAAGAGCTCAATCGAGAGGTCGCTTGCTATGCAGATTGACTCGTTGACGATCAAGACTGAGGCCAAGCACAAGGACTTTATTCAGATTCACAACGATCTTGATGACAAGCAAAACGCCTTGAACGCTCAACTAGAGAGGATTTCCAGGGATTCCACCACGTTCAAAACAAGCATGAAATCCTGGAAAGAAGACTTGCTGCAGTCAATCCTAGATCAGACAGCCGGAGATATTGAAACTATACGGAAAGAAACCAGACAGAACACTGAGAAGCTCGACCAAAGGTCCAGGGCAGAATTCAGGAACATATCAAACTCTCTGAATGCTTTCAACTCGTCGATCGAAACTTTCATCACTACGACAGAAGAGAAACTGAAGAAGATTTACGTGGCAAATCAAAAGCATTTGAAAAAGAATGTGGAAAAGATGGCCCAGGAATCGAACGCCATGAAGCGGGAGCTTGAATCAACGATTGAAGTTTTGCAAGCAGATTTGTCGGGCCTGTATACCAAGTTGAGCGAAAGCCAATCTGCATTCGAGCATGATACAAACCAACGTTTTGAGAAGCATGAAGAAGCAATGAAGAAGGAAAATGATGAGAGACAGGCATCCGTAGAGGCTCTAGAACAGAAGATCCAAATGCTAGAGTCCTCGCTGCAGGCTCTTAAAGGGACCCTGAGTGAGTACCAAGGATCGAATGATGACGTTCAGAGGGGAATACAGAATGAAATGCACGATCTGGGAGATGAGATTGAAGAAAGATTCCAGAAACGATTGGCTGAAGCAGTGCGCAAGGAGAAAGAAGAGAGGAATGCTGATACAAGCTCGATCCGGCAGGACCTGGATACCAGAACCGCCGACCTCACCAGCCGCCTTCAGGCCGAGGAGGAGGCGAGGCAGAAGGGCGACGAGCAGGAGGCCAGTGCCAGGCAGAAGGACCGCACGGAGCTTGAGGCGGCGATGGCGAAGCAGGGAGCAGAGATGGAGGAGAAGCTCAAGGCGGAGGAGGAGGCGAGGCAGAAGGGCGACGAGCAGGAGGCCAGTGCCAGGCAGAAGGACCGCACGGAGCTTGAGGCGGCGATGGCGAAGCAGGGAGCAGAGATGGAGGAGAAGCTCAAGGCGGAGGAGGAGGCGAGGCAGAAGGGCGACGAGCAGGAGGCCAGCGCCAGGCAGAAGGACCGTGCAGAGCTTGAGGCGGCGATGGCGAAGCAGGGAGCAGAGATGGAGGAGAAGCTCAAGGCGGAGGAGGAGAACCGCAGACAAGAGGGGACCTCTGCGGCAGCTAAACTGTCAGACACCAGCGCGATGTTACAAGCTGTCAGGTCTGAGCTAGAACAAGCTGTGAACCATGAGAAGAGCGAGCGAGAGGCCGAAGCAAGCTCGATCCGGCAGGACCTGGATACCAGAACCGCCGACCTCACCAGCCGCCTTCAGGCCGAGGAGGAGGCGAGGCAGAAGGGCGACGAGGAGGAGGCCAGTGCCAGGCAGAAGGACCGCACGGAGCTTGAGGCGGCGATGGCGAAGCAGGGAGCAGAGATGGAGGAGAAGCTCAAGGCGGAGGAGGAGGCGAGGCAGAAGGGCGACGAGCAGGAGGCCAGTGCCAGGCAGAAGGACCGCACGGAGCTTGAGGCGGCGATGGCGAAGCAGGGAGCAGAGATGGAGGAGAAGCTCAAGGCGGAGGAGGAGGCGAGGCAGAAGGGCGACGAGGAGGAGGCCAGTGCCAGGCAGAAGGGCCGCACGGAGCTTGAGGCGGCGATGGCGAAGCAGGGAGCAGAGATGGAGGAGAAGCTCAAGGCGGAGGAGGAGGCTAGGCAGAAGGGCGACGAGGAGGAGGCCAGCGCCAGGCAGAAGGGCGATGACGACACAAAGGGTGCTATGGAGAAAGCTCTGGAGGAGAAGGAGGCGATTCTGAACGGGACTCGAGAATCAACTGAGAGCGCGGGGAAACGGATCGAGGAAGTTCTACTGCTGATCAACACGCAGAAGACAAGCTTGGAAGAAGCGATTGGTCAGGAGAAGAGCGAGCGAGAGGCCGAAGCAAGCTCGATCCGGCAGGACCTGGATACCAGGACCGCCGACCTCACCAGCCGCCTTCAGGCCGAGGAGGAGGCGAGGCAGAAGGGCGACGAGCAGGAGGCCAGTGCCAGGCAGAAGGACCGCACGGAGCTTGAGGCGGCGATGGCGAAGCAGGGAGCAGAGATGGAGGAGAAGCTCAAGGCGGAGGAGGAGGCGAGGCAGAAGGGCGACGAGCAGGAGGCCAGCGCCAGGCAGAAGGACCGCACGGAGCTTGAGGCGGCGATGGCGAAGCAGGGAGCAGAGATGGAGGAGAAGCTCAAGGCGGAGGAGGAGGCGAGGCAGAAGGGCGACGAGGAGATCAAGTTAGCAGCGCTCAAGGCGATAGAGGAGAAGGAGGCGATTGCAAACGGGACTCGAGAATCGGCATCAGCGCTGGAGCAGAAGATCCTTGATGTGGAAACGTCTATGTCACAGCTGATGTCGCGCGACCAGTGCCAGGAGCTGGTACAAGCAGCCAAGACAGAGATGATGGAGACGTTGACGCAGAAAGCTTCTGAGACTGCAGAGAGCTGCATGTCCGAGATCAGCAAAGTGGGGGAGAGGACGAATCAGAGCATTGAGGAGCTGAAGGCTTCAGTAGACAACGACAAGGCAGGACAGAGCGAGTTGAAGGCGGAAATCGAGAAAGAGCTGCGGGAGCTTGAGGCGAAGTTGGAGGAGGTTTTATCCAGCAAGATGAAAAGTTTTGAGGAGAGCAGCCAAGGACAAGTGATCACCATCGTCGAGGAGCGCGTGCGGACCAGCCTGGAAGCAACATCGCAGGTGAAGACCTCGCTCGAGGCTCTGCAAGGAGCTGTTGACAAGGTGATGTTGTTGTGCTTCTTGTCTCTGCCGAATCTGAAGTCCGTCAAAGTTGCAAGAATGGTCAAAGACGATCGAAGATGTCAAGCAGCAACCGAACAGCTCCCAAGATGCCTCGCAGATCCAGAGCTTGCAGGACCTTTACGCGTCTCAAGAGAAGAAGGTAAGTTTTTCATCCTCCTATGCTCCATCGTTCCCTCCCTCCCTCCCTCCCTCCCTCCCTCCCTCCCTCCCTCATCTCATCTTTCCATCCTTGTGCTTCCCTCTCTTACATGTCCCGTCAGATCAATCAGAACTACGATGACCTCAACTTCCGCATCGACCGGCTGGAAATCGACGCGCTGAGGACCAGGGTGACGGATCTCTCCAAGAAGCTCGCGGAGAAAGAGGCAACGTTGAATTCCCACACTCAGTCGATCATTGAGCTGCTTGGAAAGCTTGACAAGCTGATGCAAGTGGTGGAAATGCTGTCGGAGGATCAATGAGGTAGGTGTGTACACTCTGATGTGGAGAAGACGCCCAAACCTTGCTCGAATGTTCTTGAGATGTACATGTGTAGATATGGACAGGTAAATGCTGTTTAATGTGTCAACTTCGCTTCCTTCGCCTCCTGCAAGACTTTGTCCATTGTGGTCTTGTATGCTGCGACGGTTCAGGAGATTGAGCAGAGGCGTCAGACTACAGCCCCATTGGGCAGGATACACATCTCGGACAGGGTCTCTGTTACCAGGCCCCAGTCACTCCTCACCCAGCCATGTAGCAGCTCGTGCTCCTGACCGGCCTCGTATGCCTCACATGCCTGCTGCCAGGGGAAGGAAGGATGGGAGAAGTTGTATGCGTGCGGATGGTAAAGATGGTAGACAAGCAGAGGGGGAGGGAAGAGGGTGGCAGTGTAGCCGTGGAGGAGGGAGAGTCTGCACACGTACTCAGCATCCAAGCCGAAAGGATGGTGAAACTGCGAGTATCCGTTGGACTTGAGCAAGACTCTCCGAGGGAGAAGCATGAAGTCTCCGACGTTGAGGAGCCCCTGGAAGAGACTAGTCTCTCTGTACACGTTGCTGAACTCCCGCACGGCATAAGAGGCTTCCAGGCGCTCCTGGAAGGGGTTGAAAGCCTCCCCCTCGTGCATGGTGATGGTTCCTTTGAAGGGAAACTCCAAAGCCCTGCTAGTCTCAGGGCTCATGTCCTCCCGCATGGCTACGTAGAACCTCTCCCCGTCGCCGCTCTCCTCCAGCACGTCCTCCAGCACGACGTCCACGACGGCACTGGCGAGACTGAAGCTCAGGATGCAGTCAGCGTTGGTGATCAGGACGTAACGCCCGTGGCTCCTCCTCATCGCCACGTTCTTGGCGAGGTACTGCGGTAGGCTGAGGTTCAAGGGGTTGGAAACCGACTTGGCGACGCTGTGCGGCACTTCGATCAGCCTGATGGTCAACCCTGCGTCATGGAAGTAGTCGATGCCAAGGAAGCTGCTGCCATTCCTCCCCAGTGAGTCCAGGAGCAGAGGCTTCCCTGCAGGATCCTCCCACACGCACACGACGATCTCCGCGCGCACCCCAAAGGAGGACCAGGGGAACTTGGCCATGGACTCCAGCGACTTGCGAAACCTGCCGAGGAAGTTCCCGCCATGGTCGTCGTTCCTGACAGCAAAGATGATGGAGAGGTCGATTCCCTCCTGCTGGTCGCACATGCTTGTTGCGGGGTTCTCGAGTGTGCTAGATTGAGTAGGAGCAGCAGGAGCAGTCAACGAGAGCTTGTGCTCACTTCGTACCTCGTCCATATCGGTTCCAGCCAAGAACCGGTCGAGCAGAGAATACCTGAAGACGTAGGTGCCTGGATGCATGGCAGGGACATGAACCGAGACGTTGGCCTGATCACTCGCATGTCTGCAGCGCAACTGCTTCATAGTGCGAACTATCTCTACATCGTCCGTTCCACAAACTCTGTGAAGCAGCACGAGGTGCTCGCTCGCGCAAGCTCCCTCGAAGACGAACTGTCTGTAGTGCTCTCCTTCTTCCTCCACCATCCGCGCTGTCACTCTTATCCATCCTCCTCCTCGGCGGATCTGTTCGACCGACCCCACATCGCTCCATTGCAACTGGGACAACCCGCCTCCTCTCCCCTTCCAGCCCTCCGCTATCCTGAAGCTCTCTCCCTCCTGCTCCTCTGATCCCCCAACTCCCGCCATCACCATCACCATCACCACCGCCACCGCCACCTGCATTCTCGTTTGGATCAACTCGAAAATCCGAGCATGCCGAGTTGGTGGAATGCACTGAGGCGGACCCGATGGTGGTTCAAACCAAATAAAATCGGTTTAAACCGGGTCAACCGGAGAATGACAGTGGGCCCATCAGACGGCTGATGCTGCGCACAATGCGAGTTGAGGGTCGGAGGGTACGGGGGGACATGGCGGCGCATCTCGCATGGCGAGAGATGCGATGGGAACTGATTCCTCCTCCTCCCTCCTCCCTCCTTCCCCCACCTCCCCCCTCCCCTTCCTCCTCCAAGCCCTCAGCATCCTCTGCCCTTCTTCCCACTTTCTTCTCTTACCGCGGCAAGACAGTGTTCTTGTGCTTCAGGTCAGCACTCCCCCCCCCTCTCTGGACTGCCTCCTTGATAATGTACTTGTGTGCTCGTTGAGACCATCTGCACGTGTAGGGGCGAGAACGCGATGGTCCGAGACTTGTTCAGCGGAGAGGTCCTGTGGTGCAGCACCTCCGACGGCCAAGTCAAGGACGAACTGCTCCAGGCGACGAAGCCGCTGATCAGGAGGAGAGACAAGCGACAAGATCATGGCTGGTGCTTCCTCATGCGCTGGAGTGAGGGCATGTTTGACTCTCTCCCAGGGAAGTGATACTGCCTACGGAGCGAGCGAGGGAGTCAGCAGCGCACCAGAGTCCCTATCCTCCTCCTCGCATGACGAGCAGGTGAGACGGCATCGTGCAATCCCGGCTGCGAATGGACATGACATGCTCTGTGTGCAGCAGCGATGCTCTCTTGTCGAATGTCGACACACGGCAGGAGGACGCGGAGGTCGAGCAAAGTCGAAGGCTCCTGGATGCTTTCGCATACATGACAGACGCGGAGATCAAGTGCGCGATCAAGGAGTACTCGTCGGTGCTAGAGGCCGAGGAGGAGAAGAAGGAGGACCGAGATCATCTGAAGATAGTCTCATCAGGGAGTGCGCAGCGGGGAGGCACTCTGTCCGATGTAGGAAGGGAAAGTGATGAGGGGGCCGTGGTCGAGGTGGGGGTCCAGCAACTCGAGGAGCAACGGAACTGCGAGCGCGGGCTCTATGAGGAAGAGATCACGCAGTTGGTGAAGGAAAGGCTCCGAGTGGAGCAGCAGACCGACAGTCTTCTGCAGCTGCTCTCGTTGGCTGTTGCTGACGCCGTGACGAAGGGTTCGGGTAGGCGGCAAAGACCGCCATGCTCCCCGGAGAAGGCGAGGGGAGGGCGCGAGAGTGACTATGTTAAGAGCAGAAGAGGCAGCGGGAAAAGGAGAGAGCATCGTGACAGTACAGCTCGGTCCTCCGAAGCAGAGCGACAACGTCGTGGCGAGGTGTACGTGTCGTCGCTACCTCAGCGACTTCGATTCGACGAGCCGCTAGTCCGGCTTGTTTGATGGTCGCCCGAGAGCAAGGGGAGCCGGAGGATGACCAAGAAGAGGAAGAGGAAGACGAGGAGTTGGGAGGGCCAAGGAGCGACGAGCAAGATGGAAAAGGCAAGGAAGGAGGAGGAGGAGGAGGAGGGAGTGCGCACATTCAGTGTTTGCATTCCGTTCAGATGTCGTCTGTTAATCCTTCACTCTCCTCGATCCACCAGCCCGTGTGTCAGGGGATCGTCGTAATCCGGCGGCTTCCCACGTGAGAGGAGGTCAGGAATCTGCAGTTGACTCAGCCTCCGGACTCGCAGCTCGCGCGCATCCTCACCACCATACTCGGCATCTTGGGGAGCTCAGGGACTGGGACCTTGGAGAAGGACTGGACAGCAGGAATGGTCTGCAGGCTGTTGCCCATCCCCGTCGTCATGCTGCAAGAGCCTCAGGAGGACAGAGACAAGGATGAGGAGGAGCAGGACTGCAGGAGAGGAAGGAGCAGGACAGCAGAGGAGTGGGGAGGAGCAGGACAGCAGCAGCAGCAGCACGAAGTGACTCACTCATTCGTGGTGCTCGTCACGTTTCCCCAGACTTTCCCGATGCCCTGTGAACGTTTTCAGTGACGACGATGGAGGAGAGCATAAGGCGATGGGTGATGGGCCAGCAACAGAAAAATGGCATTGATCAGATATGGACAAAGCGAAGTTGGGGAAGGAGGATAAGAGCGGGAGGAGGACGTGGGCGAGGACTGTAGCAGAACACCATCTCGACAGGCGATACAGCAGGGAGGAGATGGGAGAGGAGCTTATTACCTCCCCGAGAAGCGCTGCTCCAGGAATCTTGTTCACGGAGAAGGGATTGGAGGCCCCACCGCCAATGGGAGAGATGGGGACTGCCACCCCTTGATGCTTCTGCTTCTGAAGAAGAATGGTGGGGGGGAACCTGCCGCGAAGTCAGAGGATGCTCAGGGGGCAGAAGGAGGAGCAGGAGCAGGAGCAGGAGCAGGAGAGAGAGCGGAAGCGGGAACAGGTAGGGAGCTGGAGCGAGAGGGAACAGGGGGAAAGTATATGGTAAACGGGTGTGGTGAGCCAGGGGTTTCTCACAGCTCTTGCAAGACCGGAAGCATTGCTGGATATCCGTTGTACGTGACTGTGCTTCCTTCTACACGAATGACCGAGTCTTCATCGATGATAAACACTCGCTCCTTCTGGCAACCCTGTCCACCTTGCGTCAGTCTCCAGTCCCCTCTCATCCTCATCCTCGTCCTCTTCGTGCTCTGCCTCTCACTCTACTCCTTCCCTGACTTGTATTCTCTTACCACTAAATAGTCATTCCCTCAGGTCTTCCCTGCTCTTTGCTCCCCTTCCTGAGCAACCTTTCCAACTTTATCTCCCTTTTCCCCCCCCCCCCCCCCCCCCACCTTCCTCCCCTCTCGTTTACCACGTCCACGTAGGAAGCAGCATCGTAGTCATGATTTCCAAATCCACCGACAAAGCAGGTTTCACCCTGATCAGCGCAAATGAGGAGAATGAACAACCTCTTCCTGCCCTCTACTTGCCCCTCATCCTCTTATTCCCCCCCACACCCTCCCCTTCATCCTTCACTCCTTTCCTCTTCCTCTCACTCCTGACCTCCTCAAGCGCGTCTCCGAAGAGATTCTGGATCTCCACTAGCTGCTGTACTTTGTATGCCTTGATGTCCTACAGCAAACGAGTAAGATCCTCTGTCACTGACACATGGAAACAGAAAGAAGCTCGAGGCGCATTTTGAGGAAGAGATGGAGGGATGCAGGAAGCAGAGAGCAGAGAGCAGAGAGAAGAGAGCAGAGAGCATAGCAGGAGAGGAAGCAGGGTGAGCGGCGAGAACCTTCCAAACAGCTGTCATCGTGTTGAAAGTGCCAAGAGCGGAGGTAACAAGAGCTCCTTGTGGCATGCTGAGCTGATCCTCCTGCACTGGGATCAGAGAACAAGTACGAAAAGAAATCTAGAGGACGAAGGAGAGCGAAGGAGGGACGGAAGACAGATGCATGGAGCGGGGACCAGGGAGAAGGAAGAAGGGAGGAGGGAGGAGGGAGGAGGGAGGAGGGAGGAGGGAGGAGGGAGGAGGGAGGAGGGAGGAGGAAGGAGGGAGGAGGGAGGAGGGAGGAGGGAGGAGGGAGGAGGGAGGAGGCTCACCGAGCCAATTTGACTGAGATACTTTCTGGTTGCATCTGCCCTAGTGATGGGCCGTGCAGTGAGAAACAACAGCCGATACCTGCCATGGACGAGGTAAGAAACTATACGTGCCCTTTTAGCTGGAGTGTGGCTTGATTACCCGCTGGACGCAATTCCCGAAAGGACTTCACATACACCCTGTAATACAAGTTCATGACCCTCTCCTGCTCTCCTGCTCTCCTGCTCTCCTGCTCTCCTGCTCTCCTGCTCTCCTGCTCTCCTGCTCTCCTGCTCTCCTGCTCTCCTGCTCTCCCCTTCACTCTTAGCTCCAAACCTCTCACATATGCTGACGATTCATTCCCCTCTCTCATGGACCCCTTTCTCCACCCCCTTCTCTTACCGCGTGTGAGTGAAGAAGTCCAAGACTCTGACCGAGCTCGCTTGAAGCCAACACCTTTCAAACAGCTTACACCTTCTTTTCCTCACTCTTCATCTTCATCGTCACCAACACCAACACCACAATCATCTCCATCAACATCATCGTTATTGCACTCACCCCTCCCACGTCAGTCCTCGTGATAGTCCCATCGATGTCAACAATGACAATCTTGTCGGTACTCTTCCAACAGAAAAGTCCAGCTGACGCCAAAATGTCCTGCGGGCCAGCCAACACGTCAAGAAAGCCCCTCCCGTTGGTCTTCCCCTCCTCTTCTCCTCCTTCTCTCGTGCTTCTATGCCTTCATCTCCTGCCCCTCCCCTTCCTTACCCCGCTGACACGAAAATCCAGCGAATTGCGACCTTCTCTGTAACAAATAATTCAACGAGTGGCCAAGGCTCTACGCAAGGAGAAAGAGTACAAGGCACAGGACCAGGACCAGGACCAGGACGATGAGGAGCAGGTATCTACCTCACAGGAAGAAGATTTATCTCCTCCTCGGTAGGTTTCGTTCCTCCTCCAGGAAAGACACACCTGAGCAAGCTGCTCAGCCAAGGTATCCAGCAGGTAGCCAGCTTCATGGTCTCAACCTGCCCTCGTTGTCGATCTTCATGTGCAGGTTGGTGGGGAGACCGTTGAGATAGACATGCACGGACTGGCCGAGATGGTGTCTTCTCGTTCACAAGGCGTCAGCAGGGGTCGAACGTCACTCTTCTCACCTCTTGATGATACCAGCATTGGTCTGCACTGAAAACTGCGAGGATCGCAACTCTCCGGTGGGGTGCTTGATGACGATGACGTCATTGGTGCCGCTCACGAAGTCAAAGGCCTCATGGATATTTGCAATCCATGCAAACATTGGTGATTTATCTGACGGTAGGTACGGATGAAGTCCACCACCAAGGCAGCGGTGGAAACGCTAGTCGGATGGACAATCCAGCGGTGCTCTTCGCAACCTCCGTCTGGTGTTCAACGCCCTTCTCCCTTTCGTTCCCTAACAGGATGCTACTAGCTGATCCCTTCCCGTGCTGCTTCTTCCTGCGCCCAGACCTCGGTCTTTTGTACTCTTGCTATGCTTCCCAAACCGCACTCCTTGCTCCCTAGGCCCGATAGTGGTTAATGCTTCCCTCACAACGCTGAACCCGAAGACTGAGCCAACAGAAACAGTCCACCTGGAGCTCTTCCCTTGCTATTGCTCCTTCTGCCGCTACCACCTTCGCCGCCATATCGACGGCACGTCTTTCAGTGGCTGCAAGGTACCCAGCATGTCCCAGCCTCGGAGCGACAGTGGGTACTAAAAAATCGCAGAGATCGGGGTGGGTAGTGCGGTCTTGGAAGCATGGGAGATTCAGGGGGTACAAATAGTGCGAGATGTGTAGGTGGGGGTAGGATATAAAGTGGGTAGATAGTACTACCAATTAGATTTAGTTAACAGTCGAATCGGACTCAGGCTCCGTTGGCCCGGCGGCTGCGGCCGGGCAGGCCGAGGCTCCGGGGCCGGGAGCCTGAGTCCGCCGGAAACTGCTGTCCCCAAAACTGCCACTGTTACTGAGTTGGGCCGCGCCCGGCCGCCGCGCCGGGCCCTACCCGGAACCGCGGCGGCGCGGCCCGGCGCCGCTCCCGGCGGGCTGGCCAGTGACTCGCTGTCCCGGCCCGGTAGACAAAAGTATCTAAAGACTCCCTACCCCCCTTTTCCCCTGGTCATACCCCCAGCACCGTGTGAGCCCCTCATCTTCGAGATCTCTCCGGTACAATTTGGAGCAAAAGGACCCCACCCCCTCCACATGAAGTTTTAGTCAAACTTTCCTTTGTCTGCTACAACTTTTACAACACAGTACTGGAAACTGATCGACGGGGTAGGGTGGTGATGAGTCGGGTGATATCCCCTCTATCTAGCTATTATCCACCTGGGGTGGGGTGGGTTTGAAGGGGGTTGGGGGTGGTATCGACAAGAAAGCAGGATATGCGATCATGAGAGGGGAGCGAGGAGAGAGGAGGAAGAGGAGAAACGAGCAAGACAAGGGCAGGAGAAGTCACCGAATCATAGAGAAGAGAAGATAAGCTGCAAGGTGGCCCAGTGAAAGAGGAAGGAAACGACGTGCTGAAGTGACGACAACTCAAAGGGTCACCGTCCACGATTGGCGGAGACAAACACGAGGATAAGGGGGAGGAAGGAGACAAGGGGGAGGAGGAGACAGACGCCATTTTGTATCACTGGGAGGTTCTAAGCACGTCTCTGCTCCAACATCAATAACATATTGTGACCGATGGGTGACTCTGAGGACAAGCAAGCAGGAAGGGCTTGAAACGTTCCAGCCACACACGAGGTTAACTTTGGCCTCTAGACTCTTCACGATATGCCGTGCTGATGACAAGGAACAAATTCTTCACTTGACGTGAGTTCAGCGACTCGGATAGGACGCTGAACGCGCGTCATGAGCCTGCTATATAGTTTTCCAGATGTCTATGTAGTGAGAACTGACAGCGGTCATGGGCGCCGAACGCGCGATCAGAACAAGAGTTCAAGGAAGAGCTCTGCTCAGAATGAAGAGAAAGGGGCGGGGACAGAGAGAGCCCCCTATGTTGCAGTTCATCCTGATCCTGCGCTCCCGTACAGACTCCCTAAGAGAAAAAGTTTCCACGAAGACCCCAACATTGCCAACCTCGAAGAGCTCTTCAGGATCGAGACTGAGATCTCGCACCTGGAGGAAGAAGTCGACAAATTCACAGAGGAGGTGGGAGATAGCTGCCTGAGGCTGTCCAAGGAGAATGTGCAAGTCATGGATGAGTGCCTGGAGAACGCGATGAGAAGAATCAAAGGCATACACGAGATAGAAAAGGTCCGGCAAGTACACAATATGAGGCTGATGTATGCCAAGCAGATCGGGCAGGTAGATGTGAAGGGGAAGCAGCTGGACATGGAGTCTTCCTTCTCCAGCACTAGGACCTCTCACGAGGTTCCCGCGGAGTGCAGGTCCCTCGAAGCGTTTGCTGCGAGCATAACCAAGGAAAGCGTGAAGAACCATATGTTTCGGCGCAGAAATTCACACACGGAGGGGTTGGATGATCTCATGGTGCGGTCGATCCTCCAGTCTTTCATGCAGCTCTGCTTGGTCGACTCATCGTATGTTTTCAACTTCTCGCTCCACAGCGGAGACGAGAGTTCGCTTTGCTTTTACAAGTCAGAGGTGGAATCTCATGTAATGCAGATCTTCTCCTGGGAGAATCAGGTCTTTGTTGGATGTGGAGATGGAGCTGTGTACGCACTTCATGGAAGCCTTGGCAACATGCTGTGGTGCTTTCCTATAGATTCCAACGACAATCTTGCTCGGCAGCTCGCTCAGACGCCGTTGTTCCTGGCGGGGTTGATCAACGTCATGAAGACCAGGAAAGAAGAATGTCAGGCAATTGCATCTCTCCTGCTTTCTCTGCTTGCTGTGGGCGGGAAGGACATCACTCAGGAGATCTTAGAGTTTCCTGACTTCTTGTTCTCTTGCGGCCAGCTAATCAGCCCAGAGTCACACAGACTTTCCATGTGTATTCTTCTCTTGTTGAGAAACATCGTGCTAGTCGGGGAGGAGATTGCAGTCTCGGAGATTCTCGGGAACAGCGTCCTGCTATCGAAGATCACGTCACTCATCGTGTCCACACACGACACGAAACTTGTTCGAAAGACCATCGCACTGCTCTTCTGCATCTCGCGCTTCTCGTCGGCATCGGAGGGATTCAGGTCCAGCGGAGTTCCTCCTGCCCTGGTCAACGTGCTGTTTGCGCACAAGAACACCACTGAAGCTTCCAGCACTTGCATCGGCCTTGCGCTCATGTGTCTCGCTAACATACAAGCCAAGGAGGTGCAGATTTGGCTGAACAAGAAGAATTTGGAGATCGTTGTCAAAATCTTCAGAGCATCGTGGGAGGGGCAGGACTTTGAAGGATACCGCTTCCCCGTGGTTGACGTCTTGTTTGCGCTCAAGAATATGATGACGTTCGCTGACCTGGACATCGTCGGGATCGACTGCAACTTCGTTGGGGAGCTGGTGGAGTATGTCTCCAAGTGGAAAAAGCACGAGGAGATGCAGGGCATGAGCGGGTCGGATGGAGTGAGCGAGCTCAAGCTCTGCTGTGACATCTTGATCAAGTTGAGCGCGAGCAAGTACTGTCACAGGAAGATGCATGACCTGAGACTGAAGAAGCAGCTCGAGGACATCATCTCCTCTACACATGGGGCCGCCACCACGTATGCCTCCGAGCTCTTGCAAGAGATCAACGAGGCCGTTCACACGTACTGCGTGCGGGAGGACGGGGCGTTCCCTGAGACGGCCTCGAGACAGCCGAAGAAGCCTTGGCTTAACTCAGAATTCTTTCGAGGTAGCATGCCAGTCCTTCATGCGCGATCGCCAAGCAACAGCTTTAAGAGCATCGACGACAGCGGAGCAGAGGTCTCGATGGATTGCAGGAAGAGCGTCAACTTCAAGGCCATGGTCTCGTCCGCCATGCACTCCCGCATGCCGAACCTTTGGCAACCTTCCTTGACAGAAGCTCCATCGGAGTCCCCTCATCATGAGAGCGAGCTCCGTCGGCGCTTCGGATGCCCTAAGTGTGGTAAGACGTACGCGAAGCAGATCACGTTGGACTTTCACTTCCGGATCGGCTGCTCGAGCGGGGAGGGTGACGCGGAGAGCAACAGGCTGGCGCGGGTGAGCAGGAAGGTGATCAACAAGCTGCGATTCATGTCACAGGCGAAGGCATGGCAGTGCTGGGTTGAGCACTCTGAGCTCTTCAAGTTCCAAACTAAGGCAGTCCAACACGCTGTGCAACGTTGGAACTCTCGCCTCCTCTCGGCCGCGTTCATGGCATGGATTGAGGAGAGCAGGCGAATATCCAACGCGTGGAATGTCCTCAATCGAGTGGTGGAGCACTGGAGGCATCAGAGCACAGCCAAGTCCTTCGAGAGCTGGAAGCTATACGTGCTGTTTCAGAGATGTACGCAGGTGGAAGAGAACGGCGCGGCGAAGGTGACGAGCTCGTTGCCGAGGAGGAGCAACTCTGAATCAAACATCTACCCTACCATGATGTCTCCCTCCCGCATGAACGCCAAGACCTTTGCAAGGGAAGGTGAGGAGCATGCCTTACCGATGTCTTCCTCCCCCTCCCCCGAGACCTTCGCCTCCCCTCACCCTCCACGACACGCTCATTCATCCTGCTCTCCCTGCCGTGTTCATCCTCACGTGCTCCTTGTGCTAGCTTACTCCTCGGGCTCCGACGTGGAATCGGAACCTCCTGATACCAGCAACGGAGACAGGGAGTCCATTTTGAAAGGCCAGCTCTCCTCCCTCCAGGTACTGTGCCCCACTGGTCTATCCAGCTGAACCCTGGCAGGACTACTGCAAGCATCTAGAGCGGCAGAACGAGGTTCTCAGGAAGCAGCTCTTCCTCCTCGTCAATGGAGCTGACGCCGCCAAGGAGGGAGCTAGTGAGCATGTACAGGCGGGTCAGGAGCTACCGCCCAGAGAGACGCGGGAGGAGAACGGGGGGGAGGACGCGGTTCAAGACCACTTCCAGATCGCTGCCTCGTCGGCAAGGAGCAAGAAAGGGTCGAGGAAAGACTCGATCGAGCTCAGGCCCTTCGTGTCCGAGCTCGAGCTCATCGACTGGATCCGAAAGAGCCACACTTGGGTGGGGACGGATGCTGCAGGGCCCATGTGAGGGCGAGGAACATGATGGTGGTCGGAGGATTCAGAGGAGATGGTGGAGTAGAGTTAGTGTACATTATGAATCCGACGCGTTATATCTAGCCCTTTCGTTCACCGTGTACTGACGCAAGAAGCGATGCCGCATGCCAGTCCGGCGGACTCGCTGTCATTGACGGATCACATGGATCATATATCAGAGCCCAGACTTGCCGGGCCCAAACTGAGAATTTGTAACCGTCTGTACTGGAACGGTTCTCCATTACGACTATTCGCACTGATCAGATGGCATGACCCGGCTGGCAGAGGAAGCATCCTTGGGGTAGGCATTACCCCAAATATATGGCACCTCTAGCTCCCTCTCTCTCTCTCTTTTCCCCTCTCCTCCTCCTCTCTTACTCTCTCGTTCTGAGAGTCTTCTCATTCTGGCTTCCATTCTTGCCCACTTTCTATGCCTACTCTACTGCATAAATACTCTTATCATCCCAAGAGCCAAGCCCCTACCTGCTCTTAGTACTTCGCTACACTCTGACAGGGGCGGGCTCGCGATTGTTTAGGCCCGGTAGAGCCTCCGGGGCCCGCCGGGCCCGGCCCCCGGCAGCCCCGGGCGGCGGCGGAGCCTCCCTGTACGGTAGCCCGGCCCGGGGGCCCTGCGGCGACCGTACTACTAGGCTACCCGACACCGTGTGAGTCCGGGCCGGGCCCGACTGAGTCAGTGGGCGATGGGGGGAGGAGGGGAGCTCAGGAGTGGGCAATTTGGGGACTGGAGAAGGAGCATGGGGCGGCGTCAGGTGGCGAATGTAGGGGTAAAGAGTTGTAGCAGGGTAGGGGTATTTCTGTGGAAATTGGGGGGTGGCAGGGGTCTCTGCCAATAGCTTTAGAGGTGGGGTGGGGTGGGGTGGGGTGGGGTGGGGGCTTGAATTTGGTTGTTTGTGTGAGGGGGGTTTAGGAGCAGAGGTGGAGGGTGGGGCCATTCTAGGGAGGTAGGGGTAGTACAATTTGTACTGTGATGTTGGAGGTATAGCAAGAATGGGTAGGGTAAGGCAGAAACAGGGGGTAGGTGTGACATATTAGGGGGTCGGGTAAAGTAGAATGGGGTAGGGGTTGCTGGAAAGGAATGCGGGAAAGTGGAGGGGAGCAGAGCAAGAGGGGGGAGGAGGGAGGGAGGGAGGGAAGGAGGGAGGGGGGGGGGAGGTAGTAGTAGTAGGAGGAGGGATGATTTTGGTAGGGGCTCAAACGAGGGATAGGATTGGGAAGAAATTGAAGATCCATAGGATGAGGATTCGAATGATGGGGATTAGGAGAGAAAGGTCTTTGAGAATGAAAATTGGAGCTCGGCATTGAGGAGAATGGAATATCTGTGATACCTAGAGAAAAATTCTTGCTGACGATGCTGCATTTGGAAACTTTGATTACAGCTGAAGTAACATGGACCCTTCCTCGGTCAAAGACAAGAGTAACTTGAATCTGTAGCTGAAGAAGCCGCTGGCAAAATTTGAAATGAATTAGTGTGAGGGCAAAGAAAGGGAGGGAATTTGATTCGTTGGATTGATCCTCCAGACATTGTAATAGCATACTAGATGAGAAGATACCCTCGGTTGCGCTTGTCTTTGCTGGTATCAGAGAAAGGTTGTAGGTTTTCACGCTGTTCGAATGAGGTCTCGGTAAGAGCCTCAAGTTCAGGGAATGATAAATTCAGATGTCTCCATGCCCCTTTGCCTTAAGGTAGAGCCACATGGTCAAATGGCGAGCGCCAGCACCTTTCTCACCACGACTAGCTCCATCCTCGTGTGTTCTTGACGCTCTTTCGCAGTTGGGGCTAGAGCGATTGCGGCTCTACCAACTTCGGGGCTGATGCAGGAATAGTCGTATTTGCTAGTCTGACTTGGCAGGATGCAGATGCTTCTTTGAACACTGCCGATGATGCTGTGATTCCTTAGAGCCCCCTGCCTGCAATAGTTACCTCGCGCTCGCCATTCCTATTCAGAGGATGTTCACTTGGAATGGAAATGGACGGGAAGGCTGGCTCAACAAGCAAGCGGAGGGAATGCTGGGAAAGAAGTGGCAGAAGCGCTGGTTTGTGCTGGAGGGTACAAGTTTGAGGTACTCTCACACTCCAGAATCGGAATCTCGACGAGTATTCGACATGGACAGCATTATGAGCGTGTCTGCTGGTGCAAAGCCCACGGAGTTCCAGATCCAGGTGATGGATGGGCTGAACAAGTTGTCGAAGCTAGGTCCTGATTCTCCGAGGCATTCTGACTCTCCGAACTCGAGGTCGACAAGGAGCATGTGGAACGGGTTGCTTGATAGAACGCTGTCTCCGCCTCGGATCAGAGGAGCTGGCTCCACCAAGGAGGCCACGTCCCCAGAGCCTCCTGATATTCCTGACTATCCGGCGCCATCAGGGAATGGGCAAGCAGGGTTGAAAGTGGATGTGTCAAACACCAAATGGACGCAGCGAACGATCCACCTCATGTGTGAGACCGAATGGGATCGAGACGCGTGGGTGCAGCGGGTTCGTACAGCGATGTCACTTCGAAAAGTCACCAAGGACGCGATCAAGATCGCCACAGAGAAGCTTGAGTCACAAGAATTCGATGAAGAAGCAGGCATCTCGATCCAATCGATCGCAGAGAGCTTGGTTCGAAATGATTCCGAGGGCATCTATGAAGATTTGAAAGATACAAAGATCGAGCTGCAGTTCAGTGACTCTGACATATTCCCCATGTTGAATCCATTGAAACAGAATCAGACGATCAAACATCTTGACTTGAGATGCTCAATGGATGGTGTTAGAGGAGGCTTGACAGACGAAGCAGCCACTATGATCAGCTCATCCTTGAAGACAAACACAACCCTCACTACTCTACTTCTCACCAACAACAGTATCAGTGACGCAGGTGCGTCAGCTATCGTAGATGCAGTGATGCAGAATATGACTTTGACGGAGCTTGACCTTGACAACAACTGTGATATCACCGAGGATGGAGTGACAGAGATCTACAGCAAAGTCTCGATGATGGGGCACGACAGGTTTCAGCTGAGGTTGCCAGAGAAGGCATTGCTGCAGCGAGCTATCACCGGCAACGTAGAGAGCGTCCTCAAAGAATCGGAAGCAGTCATGCTCAGCTCTGTTGTCTGGCCCAGATTCAACCTCGAAGATCCACAGCTCTTGCAAAATTTACACGAAAGCTGGGGCCAGCAGGGTCTGGAGTTTGTGACCCCCGACAAGGTCATGGGGGGAGGGGGACGGTTTCAGTTTGGCCTGCTACAGCATCGCAGTGGGCCTTGCGGTGTTCTCGCAGCTGTACAGGCAGAGCTGCTCAAGTGTATCGTGTGGCCAGACGTGCAAGAAGACGAGAACGTGGACTGCATGGACTGGGACAAGCTGGACAGGGAGGTTCTGGATGACGTGTCAACGAGAAGCCTTGTGACTGCGATCTCGTCCATCCTGTGGCGTGCAAGGCCCGACAAGAGCTCCCGTTGCAAGGTCGTCATTGTTGAGGACCAGCTGAAGGATCTGCTGGACTGGCGATGTTTGCGGGTGGTTCAATGTTCTACCTACGATCAGCTGGAGAAGCTGGTGAGGTCTTCACTCGACATGTTTGTGAAGCCTGGAGGAGTCGTGCTGCTGGTCTACGGAGCTGTCTTGACCCATGGGCTCCATAGAGTGTGGGAGGAGACGGGGAACAAGGGTAAGCTGCCTATGTCGAGCAGCTGCCACCCTCACCCCAATGGCTACTCGCTAATCGTGTTGGAATCGGACGCGTTCTTCTGCGAGCAGAGTCTCGTCAACCTCCTGCTCATTGGACACGCCACCCCTGATCTTGAGCCCAAGGCAAAGAGTATGATCGGCTTCCTGACCTACACCGAGAACTCGAAGCCTCTCAGTTCCCCGGCAAACTGGAAGGATCACTCCGTCGTGGGCACGAACTACAAGACCCCGAAGGTGAGCATGCCATTGCAAGCTGCTGCTCGTTCTCACTGCTTCTCTCAGGTTCCTATCTGGGTCGTTCATGGTGGGAGTCACTACACCGTGCTCATAGCGAGAAGCAAGGGGCTGCTGCGCTTGCCTGAGCCCTCCCAAAAGGAGGACCAGGACAGCGTGAAGATAAGGAAACACAGGAGAGTCCCTAGCGGTGAGTGTTGGCAGAAGTCAAGAGATGTCAGAGATTGACGACGGAGAACAGGAGGGATGGCAGGAGAGTTTGTGTTGGAGCACTACAATGGACTTCCTCCTTCTGTACGCAAGTTTTATCAGCATGGAAGCGCGTAATGTCTGCCGCAGGGCCCAAGGCTGTCGAAGCTCTTCATGTCTTTCAGCTTCGATCAGGATGGAAACCCAATCGACGATATGGACTCGAGGAGGTAACTTGTGTCTGCCGACAGCCTGGCAGTGAGGCGGGTTGTGGTTGACTGTGCTTCAGAAAGTGGAGCTTGGATCACTCTTCTACGCCAGAGGGTGTACCGAAGGAGATCGATGTGAGAAGTGGACAGGAGGAGGAAGCTTGGATAGTGAGCATGTGTGACCAGGTACCTTGGGGACAAGGCGAGCTGTTTGACAAGCGCGAGGTCAAGGTCGGCTCTGTGCTGATTCAGACGTCCAAGAGCGGACCCAACGGGCTGGACCTGATCAACGCTGGGCCAAGATTGCTGCGTGCTCATGACACCTCCGACATGGTGAAGGTGAGGGCGATAGATGAGGAGGACGAGGAGTGGAAGAGGAGCGAGAAGGAGAGTTGACACGTTGCAGACCCTTCAGTTTATGATCGGCAACGAGGACACTGTGCAGTCTGTTCACTGGAGGAGAAACCCGAGCAGTGAGTTTGTATCTTTTCCCAGCAAGGCAAGTTTGACGTTTGACCCATCAGGCGAGTGGAGACCGTTGGGCAAGGACATCAGTGAGCTTACGGATAACTTTGAGCTCCTCTTGTGCTGCTCCGCCGTCCCCATGGTGCTCATCATCCTTCCTCTCCCTCCTCCCTCCTTCCCTCTTCCTCCTCCTCCTCTCCCCGTCTCCCCCCTCACTTCTCCCGTCTTCCTCGTTCTCCCTCCGTCCTCGTTCTCCCTCCCCGCGTCTCCCTGCTGCCTCTCCATTCTCCTTCCTCCCTCACCCTGATTTGCCTCCTCCCTCTGATTCCTCCTTTCTCCCTCCTCCGATCTCCCTGCTCCCACCCATCTCCCCCCTCTCTGCCCTCCTCCCTTCTCTATCCCCTCCTCCCATCTGCACTGAGCGACTTGGCAGTATCCGATCCCTCCTTCGCTGGAGACGGTCGAGGTGGGACTGAACCATTCCGCCTCAGGGCTCTGATCTCGCTGCAGGTAAAAGGAGGTTTCCATGTAACGAACAAGAGGGAGTTCTCGGACGGCCACTCCACCGAGTTCGAGATAGCTCTGGACCCGCAGGTAAGGGGATGAGGAGGAGCTGGAGGAAGAGGAGCAAGGGTGAGGAGGAACACAGGGGCGAGGAGGACTGAGAGGGGCTGGAGTGGAGAGGGATCAAGAGGAGGAGGGGACGGAGAGGGAGACGATTAGGAGGGAAAAAGGCTGGAGGGGGGTTGAGGAATGAGGAGGGGGAGGGTGGAAGATGGGGAGGGAGATTCTCACAGGCGGTTGACAGACGGAGGCCAATGTTCTCTTCTCTGCGATGTACTATGACAGCAAGAAACATCTTCCTGACATAATCGTCCCTACGGACAAGCATGTGATTAGGATAGGTACTTTCTCCTCCTCCTCCTCCTCCTCCTCCTCCTCGTAGTTACCTCTTTTGTTGTCTTCGTCTCTCCTCTCCTTGGTCTGCTGCTGTCTCAAACTTTTCAAAGCTCCAGGGATGCTCCCACAGATCGTCAGCAGGTGAGGGAGGAGAGGTGCCCCTTGCTGCTCGTCAAGTTGAGCCTGCAGGCGTGTAGCTGATGACGCGCACTACCTTCCCCTCTCTACCGTGCGGCAGGCAACTAGTAAGGCTGTTCCAGTGGCTGCTGTGTGAGCTTGTGAGGCAGAGTGAAGACGAGAAATGGCGATGCCGAGGCTGCTCCCTCCGCTGCTCGCAGAGCTCCATGTCTGAGCAAGACTACTTTAAGTGAGCTCATCCCCCTTGCTGGAAGACATCGCTAACTTTCAAGCCAGCTGTCTGTGCGCAGTCAACGATCCTGGTGAGCTTTTCCTCCTCCACCTCCCCTCCTAAACCAACTCCTCCGCTTCCCCCTGTTCATGTCCTCGTCATATCCCTCTTCGTCCACTCTCGCATCCTCCTCCCCTCCACTACCACGACCGCTTCCTTGTCTTTCTCCTCATTCTAAACCTTCTCCTCAAGACACACTGTCTCCTCCCCACCCCCCTCACTGGATCCGCTTTTCACAGATTCAGTCATATGCAAAGTTTGTCAGCAGCCCCTGGAAGTCAGCGGAAGGTTGATCCGTGTTGCTCCCTGCTTGCCGTGACTTGGCACATCAGGTGCCTTTGGCTCGAGTACGGTCGTCTGCCCATGCAGATCAAGGTTTCTCTTCCCTCCCCCTCGCAGGGTCCTTGTTCAGGTTAACGCCTTTTACCGCAGTCGCACATCGATAGCAGCGATCGTTGGCGACCGCAAGCATCGCAGGTGAGTAGGAGGGGGAGGGGTTGGGGGCTGCAGGACGTGTGATGGAGAGGAAGAAAGGGGGAAAACTTATCGGCTGATAGGCGATCCCACCCATCCTCCACGTTGTGCGGACGCGATGGGCTAACGCTGCGCTTCGTCCGGGTCCTCTATGGCCTTCTAAGGGAGGCCCTTCCTTGTGAGAGGAGCGGAGCAAGGAGCAGCAGAGCTAGAGAGGGGGGAGGAGGAATATGCAGCCATGGGAGACAAGGGAGCGGGGGAGGAGGGGGCTGGGGGGTGGCATTCCTCCTGATTGCAAGGAGATTTATGAACAGGCGTGTACACTACATGAACTATACAAACTCTGGCTCGCTCCTCGACATTCCTGCCACCTCCGACGCTTCGCTATCATCGTTGGCGCTCACAGCCGAGCGCAAGTCCGTCCTTGACAATTCATCGATCCCCACGACGACAGTCAGGAACAGCAGAACCATCCCTGCCCAACCTCCGTCACTCGATCAACAAGCAGGATGGCAGCTACCGAACTCCTTGATGCTTCCTCGTCCTTCCCACATGACCTGAGCTCTCTCGTCACCGGTTCGCTGCTCATGGGAGGGAGGGCCGCACCTGCCGCCACAGCATCTCTTGGACGTTGTCGGGGTTCAAGGCCTGCGGCACATCCCGTCCTGCTCGCGTCAGAGGAGGAGAGCTCAGGAGGAGGCAAGAGGATCACCATGAACGTCGATGAGTCCGTGATCGTATCTCAGCCCTGACATGCATCAGTGGCGTCGGAGAGCGGCAACAACCGTCCGAGCTCACTTTTCTCTTGGTTGTTGAGAAGCTCGTACGCGGAGTGGACCTACGGTGTCGTCATGAGCGCTCTCATCGCATCGCTCCTAGTTGTTGGGCCATTTCATAGCAAGTTTACCTTGGCGAACTTCATGCAAGCCTGCGGGTCATCTTGATTCATGTCTGGATGTACTTTCCTCACCTGCAACAGGGCCCTGAGCATCGTTACGAGAGAAGAGAGAAGAGCTGGAACCTGCGAGAGGTATGCGCTCTTGATCTCAGATAGCTCCGCCGTGTTGTTCACGCCAAGTATGCGGTACGGGCATGTGGCTACAGCGGTCAAACAGGGTCAGTAAATGTACCCGACAAAACAGGCGCAACTACAGCATTACATGTGAAGACGTGGCTCTGAGACGAGGAGCACAGGCCTCTGCCCAGAGGACTTGAGTCGACCATTCTTACATCTCTTAGAGCAGGGAAAGAGCAGCAGAAGCGCCGTACTTCTCCTCCCCCTCCTCCTCGCACTGCTCGGACCGCGAGCATGGCATAGAGAAAGATCCTGGAGTTTGTTGCGCAACTCGATTCAAATCGATTCTTGTGAATGATTTGAATCGATGTGGGCTCGTGGAATTAAATCGATCAGAAATCGATTTGAACCGATTTACGGTTTTTCAAAATTCGAACGGCATTTATTAACACGCCTCAGGAGACCTACCCCTCTGTTTGAGCCTACCCTACCCTTATTCGAACCTGGTGGGTTTGAACTAACCCCTACTTTCATATGACATGGTAAGGTCTTTTATAGGTAGGGTTATCTCAATCTGGGTACCGATGCAGACTACCCTACCCCCAGTTTTGTGCCTCAGGGTCCGCGTGTTCCCTTCCTTGCCCAATCGCCCCCTAGTCGTCTTCGCGCTTGTCTGTTGTCGCTGCTCGCCGCCCTTAGCTGCTGCCTTGAGTTCCCCCTGTCCTCCTTGAAGCACCTTCATCATCATCCTTGCACAGTGAACTGTGCTCTAGGACAGCATGAGCGAGAACGTGCGACCTGCTCTTCAAGCACTCGACCACAACAAACCGGCGAGCGAACCGATAGCAAAGCGCAGCAACCATGCGAAAGAAGACGAGAGTGTCACTAAGAAGTTAGAGGATATGAGCTCTGAGAAGGAGTTCCTGTCAAACAAGCTGAATGAAGTTCTGGATGATTACGAGGAGCTGAGGAAAGCATATGACGAGCTTCATGAGCACAACAAGCAGCTCAAGGTCGAGCTGATCAACACAGCAGAGGAGTCATCAGAGTGGAAGAACTCGTATGAGAGCCTGCAGACAGAGGGATCTGAGCTGTTCAAGACTTACGAGAGGAAGTGCACCATGTTGAAGCAGGTGACGGCTCAGCTTGAGGAGCAAAAGTCAACGATGCAGGAGAAGGAGAATCGGATGAATGCGATGCAACAGGAGCTGAGAGATTCTCAAGCTGATCGTGACGATCTCCGTGCCAAAGTGAAGGCCCAGAGCGAGCTCTTGAACCGTCAGGAGAGTGAATACCTAGAGCTCAAGTCCGAATACAACCAGCTGTTGGAGAAGCTGGAGCTGCTTGAAGGAGAGTCAAGAGGGCTGGCAAGGCCGGCGAGCTCTGGCCCAGCAGAGTCGTCCTCCAGGCTCGAGAATGAGAGGATCGAGTTTGCAGTCCACAAGTCCATGGAAGAGATCGTGAAGTTGGAGGAGATTGTCAAGAAACTCTGGGCCAGCAACTGGAACCAAGGCGGCTGCGTGGACAACAGGAGCACCGAGAATTTCTCCGTCTTCAAGACTCCTTCCCGCACCCCTGGTGAGAATTTCTCCTCCTCTCTTCCATTCTTCTCTTTGCACCTTCCCTCCTGCTTTGGAACCATGTATCTTTCTCCCCCCTGCACTTGACTTTCTTGTTGTTGAACGAGTTGTAGGCCGCAACCTCCACAAGACACCCAGCAGAGTGATAGCAGAGATAGAGCAGCTGTCTCCCTCGGCTCTGCAGGAGAGAGCAGAGAGCCTGATCATCAGGAACGACCTTCTTCGACAGGAGCTGGATGCCAGCAAGCGAGAGCGGGAGGAGAGGAAAGGTGAGAAGCGTTGATGGTTCTTTCCACTCTGACTCGTCAAGCAAGAGTACGCGCAAAGCTGCGAGATCGCGCTGCAGGAGAGGATCAAGGACTTGGACGAGGAGAGGCGCAGGAGCGACGCGCTCTCGGACAAGCTCGAGTTGCTGTCCAAGGAGCTACGAGCCCTGCAGCTTGAGAATGATTCTATGAAGCAGCAGGTAAGAGGATGATCGGGAGAAGGCAGAGGGCGAGAGAACGGAGGAAGGACTTATTGAGGAGGAGGAGGAGGAGGAGGAGGAGGGGCCGTCCATTTGATTCTCTGGATCCCTCAGGTCAAAAACCTGGAGGAAGCTGGGCATGCAGCAGGGATGGCTGTACAGCAGGAGCTTGAAGCCGCCAAGCAGCACCTGAGCGAAGCTGAGGAGGTGAAGCGACTGCACGAGAACTCCATGGCGTCACTCAAGAAGCAACTTGACGAGCAGATCCTAGCCACCAAGGTGAAGCTCCTCCCCCTCCTCTCCTCTCCTCCTCTTTCTTTGCTGATCGTTCAACGGCAGAATGCTGAGAACGACATGCGGATCATGTACAAGCGGCACAAGAAGGAGATGCAAGAGATGAGCGACAAGTTCAAGGCTGGAGACTACGAGGAGCGATACAAAGAAGCCGTACAGAAGGCCTCCCAGGTCCTCCTCCTCCCTCTTCTCCCTCTCCTCCTCCTTCCTCTCCTCCCTCTCCTCCTCTACTTCCACTCTCCCTCCCTCCACTACCTCTTGACTTCACTTGCAGCTCGAGACGCTTGTGAGCAAGTGGGTCACCTACGCACGGCAAGTGGTGGAGATGCGAACCCTGCAAGCCCAGCAGGTCGACCAGCTGGAGGTGAACTCCCGGGACATGCTCGAGATTGTCGAGCAGGCAAAGGCCATCAAGCTTGAGGCGGTGTGTGAAGGAGGAGGCGGAGGAAGAAGGATGGAGGAGATGACGAGGGTTCGATGAGCAGGAGGCAAAAGTGGCGAAGTGGTCGCGACAGACGAGGAGGATGCAGAGGGACATGACGAAGCTCGTGAGGATGAAGACCCGAGCTCTTGAGGAGAGGAAGGAGGTGATGCGAGCCCCGCACCCTCCCAGCTGTTGCTGACCTGCAACCCAGCTGCATGACAAGTACCTCGAGCTGGTCGAGGAGCTGCAAGCGCAGGGCGAGTACGCGCAGCAGCTGGAAGAGAACGAGCAGAAGATGATCGCAAAGGTAAGGGAGGGGAGGGGAAGGAGGGACGAGGAGTGGGGCTGATCGTGACGCAGTTCCGTGCGGAGATGGAGGAGGTTGAAGAAAAGCTTCGAGAGAAGCACGCGGCTGAGATGAAGGAGGAGCTCTCCAGGCTGCGCGAGGAAGCAGCAGAGCGCGAGGAGGAGCTGAAAATGATGCTGACGGCGGCGGAGGAGGAGAGAGACGGGCTGGCTCAGTCGGTCGAGGAGCTGGAGGCTCGCGCGGCCCAGCAGGAGGTCCAGCAGGCCCTGGCGGCGACCCTGGACAAGGTGGAGGCGGAGGCAGCCCTGGCTCAGCTGGAAAAGAAAGAGACGGAGCTGGGGGAGCTGAGAGCGAGGGTGATAGAGCTGGAGGAGGCGACGAAGCAGAACGACCTTGTGTTCAGCGACACCATGGCAGCGATGCAGGCGAAGGAGGATCGGTGCAGGGAGCTAGAGGAGGAGGCGGCCAAGCAGGAGGCCGAGCTCAAGAAGCTGCAGACAGCGATGGAGGATGCAGAGGCATTCAACGACTCCGAGAGGAGCGCGACACAGGAGGCGCTCGACGAGCTCACCAAGTCGCTGGCGCAGGCGCAGGAGCAGGTGGAGGCAGCGCAGGAGCAGGTGGAGGAGGCTGAGAGGAAGGAGATGGCGGCGAAGATGGCGGCAGCATGCGGCATCGTGCGGCTGACGCGTGTGGCTGTGGAGGTTGCGGGAGAGGAGGAGGAGACGGACATGATCGACCCCGAGCTGCGGCAGCACTGGCGGGAAGACTCGTACGAGCAACAGCTGGCGGAGACGAAGACGTCCCACGAACTTCGCGCCCTGCTCGTCGGGCTCGCCTGCTCCGTCGAGAGCCTCCTGACGAGCTTCTCCTCGCGCCGTGACGAGCTGAAGGAGCAGGTGGCAAAGCTGCTGGAGGAGGAGGAGAGGAGGTCGCAGCAGCTGCAGGACAGCGAGGCTCGGGCGTCGCTGCTGCAGGAAGAGGTGACAGAGCTCAGGAGGACGCAGGAGGAGTGCATGAAGACCATCGATGCGCTGGAGAAGTCTCAGAAGGACTTGGAGGAGGAGGTCGAGGCGAAGAGCAGGGAGTGGATGCAGCTGAAGGAGGAGGCGGAGGCGCTGAGGACGGAGGCGGAGAGCTCGAGCATGCAACTGGCCACAGTGTCGGAGGAGCGTCAGAAACTACAGGAGGAGAACGAGAAGCTGCGCCCTGAGCGAGATAGCTTGCGAGCTGAGCTGGAAGATAGCAACATCCGACGGGGTCAGGTAAGAGGAGGAGGAGGAGGAGTGGAACTTTGGATGAGACTGGCATGCAGGCTGAAGCAGCGGAGGAGAGGATGCGAGAGAAGGCAGAGAAGAAGCTCGCTGCCCTTCGTCACAACTTGCAGGTAGGAGGAGGAGGAGGAGGAGGAAGTCCTTTCTGACTGGTCCCTACAGCGCTCAGAGGAGGAGTGTGCTTCTCTTGACGCCATCCTCGCTCATGTCCGTGCGGTTCTACACATGTACATCGACAGCCCGCAAAACCTTGATTCAGTGAGTCTCCTCCTCATCCCTTCCCTGCCTCCCTCCCCTCTCTCCTCCAACTCCTCCCCACCCCTCCCTCTCTCCTCCAACTCCTCCCCACCTCTCTTTCTCTCTCCTTCCCCTCCCTTCCTCCTTCTCCCCCACCTCTCCCTCCCTCCTCTTGATACGCTTTTCTCCATCGATTGACGCGTGCTCAGCTTAAACGTTTGCTGCATCGGATCAGCCCTGAGGATACTGAGGAGGAGAATTGAAATGGATGACAAAACAACAGACAAGAGTCTGACGAGGCGGGAGGATGTAAACCAATCGTACTAACTAATGTGAATGAACTCGAAAGAGATGACAACACGATTCGAAGACCATAACAAGTCCTTTGAGCTGTCCAGAAACTTCAGCTGTCATACAAACACACAGACTGGTTATGAAATGTCAGTTCGGATTTTGTGGTGAACACATGCTCGAGGAAACTTCATTTTTGTATCTTATCTTTCTCATGTAAACATATTTCGCTCCTCTTACGCTAAAACGTTGTGCTAATTTCTGTCGATATGGGAAAACAGAGGATTCAAGTGAGATGTGAGGGTAGAGAGTAGAATATAGTAGGATTCTATCCGGCCTCGTCACTATCCATCCATTTTCGTTTTCTCCTGCGACCTCTCCAAACGAAGCAAGCTGGACCCATTACACGTCTGGATGCAAAGAACGAAGTGCTCCATGCATGGAAGAGGGAGGAGCGGAGAGAGCACAGGAGGGAGACAAATACCAGGCAGAGAGCATAAATGATTTGCGGAAGAGGAACGGAGGAGGAGCGGAAGAGGAGCGAAGGAGCTGGTTGCCAAGTGTTGTCAAGGACAGGACTGAGGGGGCCGCAGGCCAGGGGCAGGCCCGGAGGAAGAAACAGGTGCAGGGATGGACACGAAGCAGGACGCTGAGGGGCAGGAGAGGGCCCGGAGGAAGGAGCTGAGGGGGGAGGATCGGAAGGAGCTGAGGCGGGAGGATCGGAAGGAGCTGAGGCGGGAGGATCGGAAGAAGCTGAGGCGGGAGGATCGGAAGGAGCTGAGGCGGGAGGATCGGAAGGAGCTGAGGCGGGAGGATCGGAAGGAGCTGAGGGGGGAGGATCGGAAGGAGCTGAGGGGGGAGGATCGGAAGGAGCTGAGGGGGGAGGATCGGAAGGAGCTGAGGCGGTAAAGATTTACTCAAAAAAGGTGGGTACAAATATTTTTGCCAACGAGGAGGGGTGGGGAAAATGGATGGGGAAAATGGATGGGGGAAATGGATGGGGAAAATGGATGGGGAAAAGGCTGGAATGGGATAGATAGGATGGTGAGGTATCAATGGTAAAGGATTCAAAGGAGAGAGGAAAGAGTAGCATATCTTAGCAAAACATGAAAATCTGGATAGATGAGCAGGGAGTAACCAGTGGCAGGACAATTTCTAGTTGTAACTTTATATTACTTGCTGCACTCTTAACTGTTTTCAACTTGCAGGCCCTTTTGATATGGAATGCTGGTCTCAAATATAGCAATCACAATCAAACTGCCGATGTTGAAACAGAACAAAGACGGGGCATGACATTTCCTTGACAGCAAACATGCCAAAAAATCAACTTGCAAGAGGAAGGGATCTCAACCGCAAGAAAGCCAGGGACAAGCAGAACGCTCTGGTCACCCGCGAGCAAACCAAGAAGCTCCTCGACATTCTCGACCCCCTCATACCCCAGATGGAGAGGAGCTTGGGCGAGCTGAGGGGGAGCTTGCCGTCTCGGAGGACGCTGCTGCACCTGCTGGAGGACCTGGTGACGCACTTGCGGGCCATGCCGGCGTCGTCTCGGGCGAGCAGGAAGGAGCGAAAGCCCGGCGTGTCGCTAGAGGAAGCGACGGCGAGGGTCATGTCGAGCCGGAGGGAGAGGATCGTGTCGGTGGAGCTACCGAGCTGGAGGATCAAGTGCGGGAGCGTGGGGCTTAAGGAGTACTACGTCCGATCGCCGCTACGGAGGCTGGTAAGAGGGAAGGAAGGGGAGGGCGAGGAGGGGAGGAGAAGGCAAGAGGGTGAGTAGATGTCTGACGAGAAACATGGTTGTTGGAGCAGGAAGGACAGTGCTTCCTCCATCTGGTCGAGAACGAGAGCCTGGACGTGCTACGAGCGGCTGGGCAGGCGGTGATGCTGGGGAAGGGGGTGGGGCCCTTCTTCGTAGACCTGCGGACGTTCTCGAGGGAGGGGATGGTGTGCTTGAACGTGATCAGGTGTCGGGTGATACCGGCGCATGTGTCGTGCATGGGGGAAGGCGTGTTCGTACTGGAGGCACAGGAGGAGGCGGAGGTGAGGCACGAGTGGCCAGGAGATATTGCGGGGAAGTTCTGCATGGTAGTACGGAGAGACCCGGGGACGTCGAACGCGTGTGCGTACGACATCGACCAGGCGCTGAGGGGGCTGGTATCAGAGAGCCGGTGAGAGCAAAAAAAAGGAGAGAGGAGGGGATGAGGAGGGGATGAGGAGGAGTGCTGACGGAGAGAGTTCTGTAGAGGCTTCATGTCGGAGGCCCTGAAGGCGTTGTCGACGGATCACGCGTCACAGAGCATCATGGAGAGGATACGAGGAAGCATAGAGAGCCTGGGTAAGGGAGGGAGGGAGAAGAGGAGATCAATGAAATAGAATTCAAGTCGCAGTCTTCACTGTGCTGTTATGCAATTGGTTGATGCATAGGAATGGAGGGGGTTGTTTTGTTTGCTAGTGATGTTGATGCGTACAGGAAGGGCTTTCGCTGTATACATGGCAAGGCTGACAGAAACGCATTTGTCCCTGGGAATAGACGAAGAGAATAACATCTTCGCCAACTACTACGTTCGGATGAGGCTGCCACAGGTAGGAGGAGGAAGAGGAGGAGGAGGAAGAGGAGGAGGAGGAGGAGATAATGGTGACTCACGGGAGTTGTTTGTGGGGAAGCTTGTTGGGGGGTTCAAGTCGAACTGGAAACGAGTCATGAAGATGGCGCTGAACGGGGAAGAAATGGAACTCAGCGGAGGAAGTAAGTCATGAAGGGAAGAAGCTTCTATGGGATGACGAGAACCTTGCAGACACGAAGGTTTACGGGTATGTGGTGAACAACGTCGGGAAAGACTCGTTGTTGTTGAGAATCTTCTATCTGCACTCGTCGACTGGGTATGAGATGTGCCATGACGACCCATGGTGGAATCTGAGCCGTGCTGGATGCAGAATCTGCTACTTCTCTCGCCATTTTGTCGCTTCTCCGGCAGGACTATTTCAGAGTGTGAAGGTGAGGGGCTTGTGGTGTGAGGAGGAGGGAGAGAGTGACGAAGAGTTTCAAGGTTTTCCGAGACGGATCTGATGAGGTGAGGAAATTGCATGCGATTTAGGTTGAGAGGTTCCGTTTGAACCTGAGAAGTGAATTTGAAGTTTATGGGGAGGGATTCAAGTTTGAGGGCAGAAACTCCGTCACTTTGACTTGATCCTGTAGGAGGACCCAATGTGCTTCTACGTCAACATGCTCAAGGTCGACGAGGAGGACAGGGGCTTGATCGCAACTCTAGAGCCTGAGGAATCTCTGTAGACAATGTTATTATCAGGTTATTTTGGCATTGAAAGTACCAGTATGATGATCGGACGACCCCCGCGTCGGAGCCTCCGCCCGGCCGCAGCCTGACCGGGGCACTGCGGCACCGTACTGAGCGGCGGCGGGGCCCCCGGCCGCCGGGCCGCTCAGTCGGCGGCGTTGACCCGGGGCCGGCTGAGGCGGACTTCCCATGTGCAAGGTTGGAAGTCATGGACTCAACAAAATGGCGGCGGGAGGAAGGAGGAACACATTCGCGACATGCAGGGTGACGTCTGTGCCGAGTAGGTAGCAGGTCGAGGGCATGAGACTGACTGCGATCTCGGATCCTCTGATCGGACTTGCCTTCTGTGTGTTGTCTTCGATTCTATCCTCAGAATTCTGCAGGCATTTCGTGACGAAGAACAGGCTCTATGCAGCACCCCTCTTTTCTCTCCATGCTCTCATTCCGATGTGCCTCAACGACAAGACGGAGGCTGCTGTGTGCTGCGTCCTGTCGTCAACGCTGGTCACGTGGTGGGGAACGGCCCGAGTCATTGCGCTCCTCTCAGGACATGGCCCACTAGCCTCCGCGAACACTCAACGATCGTTGGGTCTGTTCTGGATGTCCTACTTCTTGCCCATCAACCTCAAGCGGGGAGCAACCAGGAGCTCGTACAGTTGGGAGGCACAGAACGGTACCAGAAAGGCTTCACCTTGGTAGGAAGGTTCATGTACAAGCTGCTGGGCTTACTCCTCCTGCTCTACTCCCTTGACAAGTGCGAGACGCTAGAGCATCTCTCGCACGCCTGCTCCAAGGGCACTCTGATCGGTGACGTGTGTTGGTCCTTCGTGGTTCTGCTAACGGCCTCCGGTCTCATGGATTTCCCTGCGGGTCTGGTATGTCTGCTGGGCATGGACGTCGAGGAGCACTTCGCTTCGCCGCTCCTGTCCTCCTCTCTCAGAGACTTCTGGGGTCACAGGTGGAACATGACGGCAGCTCGACTTCTCAGACATGGCTGTTTCAATCCTCTAAAGAAGTTAAATCTATCTAACAGTGTCGCTGCTGTCTTCACCTTCGCAGTCAGTGGTGTTTTCCATGAGGCCATCTTGTGGTATGGGAGTCGAAGCAAGCAAGGTTGTCTACGAGGCTACTGGCTGCTGTTTTTCCTCCTCCAAGCTTTGGTAGTCCTCACTGCGGCGATTCAAACCTGACGAGTTGTCAAGGCTGCCAAGGTGGAGCTGATTGTGGAGAAACGATTCCGTGACCACCTAGCTTTGCATCTCCTGCTCTGACCGGCACCCAGGGCTCCACAACTCTTGGCTTATCCGACTCTGGGCTGTTATCTTCTTGCTCACCAGCACCAGGATGTTCTTCCTGCCCCCAGCATACAGGTGAGTAGAGTGACGGCCCGCACCTCGCTGAGTTCCTTCACTGCAGCACCGGTTTGCCGTCCCTCGCTACCAGTGCCCTTCTGAGTGGCCCGCGATACCTCGGACTTCTCGTCTAGACACAGAGGTCGCATGGTAGCGGTCGGACGATCTCTCAGACATTGTAATTCTGATTGACTTGGCACATCGAGAGTCCCTGCTGGTCCTGAGCATGGAGTCAGTTGAGCATGAAGGAACGAACACACTCACCCGAGCTTGCTGGAAGTTGGGAACTATGCAAATCACGTCTCCTTCTCGAATTCTGGATGTGTTGTATATGCTAGTTATCCTATTGAAATTCACATTGTATATGTGGTAGCTTGTCGTTCCAAATCTTGTGGCAATGGTGTCTATTGTATCATCTAGCATGGGAAAGAAAGTCAGGCTAGCTGACAGAGTAACGGAGGAATATACCGAAACTCACGCGATACTCATGGCCGTACTTGTATAGAACCAACTGTTGAGAGCTGTAAATGCCGAGGCCTCCGTTCATGGACCACAAAGTGATCCAGTCCGTCATGTACTTGGCAGCCAGAGACAACAAGGTTTCTCCGGGCAATAAGACCGAGTTACACTTATAATCCCCCGGGTAAGAGCCTGGGATCTGAAATATTTGCTCAGAGGAGAAGAGAAAAGGCAGATGAGCAATACCCCATCAAGACATCCCATACAAGTGTAGTTGCCAAACGTCCGCTCCATGTAGTTCTGTCCAGGGAATGTCGTAGCAACCAAGATTCCTCTCGAGTTGAAGATCAGTCGAGCTGTTGCTATCGAGTAGCTGCCACTCAAATCAGGTTTCATAGCAGCTCAGGCAGCACCGTGACATCATCTATACTCACATCCAGTTTGACAGTATAGCATTGCTCTCTCCGCATTTTGAAGATGCATTGAGTATCGGACATCCCGTCGTGTAGTTGAAGCGAGATTTCCAGGCTGTATATGTTTGTGATCCCAACAACCTAAGAAAAGTTAGCCGAGAAGAAGCAATGGTTTGTTCGCTTACTGTTCAAAGATCTGAGTCACTTGGGCGATGCCGTTGACACTCTTCGAGATGTTGACCGGAGTCAACAAGAATCGCAAGTTCGGCACTTCATGAATCCACGAGAGGTAGGTCGTGCCCATTCGTTGATGCCTACGAATCACAGCAACTTTGAAGCTTTTCAACCAGTCTGTTTGCCCCGACTTGTACGATCTGCTGGCTGCCTGAGAACAACTACATCCTTCCAGGCAACAATCCGTCAGACTCCCCCCGGTGTCTACGAAAAACCGTTTCTGATTTTCGTCTGACGATGAAGCTATATCCGCGAATGATATCAGGCTGTTCTTCTGTGTTATCACTTCATAGTAGTACGAGGTGTCGTCATATACGAACGACCATTCAGAGCTGCTGGGTAAGACAGTCTGTGACAAGTCCGGCGTCTTGGCGGTGGTCGCGCCCCACGGGTCATCTTGCATCATCACCTTCCATTTCGGACCGACAACCCCGAGAGACTGCTCTGAGATCACCTTGACGGGTATTTGAGGATGCATCCCTTGTATGAACGGAGCCCAGAATATTCCCCCATGAGACCCAGGGGCGTAGGGTATCGGTCGAGCGTCCGGGAACTGGGCAGATTGCCCCGTGTTCAAACCCGTCGAGATGATGGAAATCCGTTGTAGGGATTTGATGTTTCTCTTGTCAAAGATCCATTCAAGCGTCATTCCAGTGTTGACGGCTCCAAAGTGATGCGCGGTAATGCAAGAAGTGTTCCCTGATCTGTATGTGAAACTTCTGTTACCTACATGCAGGTCCCCGGTGCAATCAGGGATGACTACTATGTCATACTGGTCTGGACTGAAAATCCCCTGACTGTAAACGAGAGTGCTTAGGCCCACCCGACCGCTCACAGATTCAAGGAAGGAGATCGGGATGTCTGGCTCAAGGCTTGAGGGGTTGTTTGCTGCCCCCATGGTCCTCTTGGTCGCGTTTGTTCCGCAAGTGTCGGTATCCCAGCACATTCCTCCCGCGAGGAAGATGATCAGCAGGTTTTGAAACGAGTGAATGTTGGCTGATTGTGAGCTCAATCGAAAGAAGAAGGAAAATGCTCGATTGCCATGGCCGCACACAGCAGGCGATCCTGGTGTGATCATTGACCACGTGGTCAGTCGGTATGCGGTGGTGTCAAGGAAAAAGCTCCCAGCCTTGCAGGCAGTCAATGAACTTGATAGATCAAACGCGCAGAATCGAGGAGCAGCGCTGCAGGGCACTTCTTGCGGTCGATTCAGCTGGTATGACAACTCCCAGTTGTTCGTGCCCTTGGAGTACTCGGGACATTGGAGAACAGTTCTACAGAATGGTCACAACTACAACCCACATGAATCTTCTTCTCACCTGTTGAGACTGCAGGGAACTGCAGGTTGTTCTTGACCATGCACCATACAGACCAACAAATCTGTAAACAATCTACATCAATGATCCACTCTCGTTCAAACTTGAAGCGTTCTTACAAAGGCATGTCAGTGTCCTTCCCCGAGGATTCACCGTCATGCTCCCAGCACTTGGTCCCTTAGGATCGAAGCAGACAGCAAGTCGATCTGCTCAACACGACATAAGCACCTCTCACTCATCACACTCTTGGGAACGTAGAAAACAAAAATCGGTGAATGTCTGATGAAGGTAAAATCTAACAGAGGATGATCACTTGACCAATCACGACTTGTAAATCAAACCGATCAGAATTGAGAGGCAAGTACAAGAACAAACATAAGATTCACTTGTACATGTATGATAAAATCATCGGTTGGAGTATATGTATGATAACATCATCGGTTAGAGTGCATGTATGTTAACATCATCAGTTGGAGAACATGTATGATAACATCATCGGTTAGAGTGCATGTATGTTAACATCATCGGTTAGAGTACATGTATGTTAACATCATTGGTTAGAGTACATGTATCATAACATCATCAGTTAGAGTGCATGTATGTTAACATCATTGGTTAGAGTACATGTATGATAACATCATTGGTTAGAGTACATGTATGATAACATCATCAGTTAGAGTACATGTATCATAACATCATTGGTTAGAGTACATGTATGATAACATCATCAGTTAGAGTACATGTATGATAACATCATCAGTTAGAGTACATGTATGATAACATCATCAGTTGGAGAACATGTATGATAACATCATCAGTTGGAGAACATGTATGATAACATCATCAGTTAGAGTACATGTATGATAACATCATCAGTTAGAGTACATGTATGATAACATCATCGGTTAGAGTGCATGGTACATATTAGATCTCAGGCGGCTCTCCGCATGGAGAGATGGTGAAACCCAAGGACTCTTGGTGCTATCGACCATAAGTAGGCCCGCCTGAGCCGCGGGCCGGGCGTCGGGCCGGGGCCCGGCGGCCCGGTACGAGGCGCGGCCTAAACCAAAAACTTCGTGTGAGGCCCTGAGTGGGGCTGCCTGTCGACGCAGTAGCGGCGGTGGAGTGACGGTGGCATGCCGCGCTCAGAGCCGCCAAAACAGTGTACGGTCGAGTGTACCACAAAACAGTTTTTTGCTCAAGATGAGTCGAGTTTCATTAGAATGCACTGCACCGTCCAAAAACTTGTTCGGCGTGGCAGGTGGTTGAGGCCGCTTACCGCCCGATCACTACTACTAGGGTGTGTACTTTGAGTAAAGGGAAACAAATCCAACTCCTTCTTGTGATTTTCATCGACTTTCATCAAGTTGAGCCGCGCTGGGCTCAGTGGCTCCGGCCCGGCCCGGCGGGTCGGGCCCGGGCCCGGATCTGTGCTCACATACTCTTGGGACACAGCGAGGAAGCTTCAAGGCGGAGCATGGCTTGACGATGAGGTCGGGATGGGCAGCAGGGCTGCTGAGCGCATGCGTGGGAGCGATGATGCTAGGAGACGGGGGAGAAGGAAGCAGAGCAAGTCCCGTCGCTTCCCCCCTCAGTTTGCCTTGCTTCGTCTTCCTTCCTGACACCCACCTGGAGCGGAACCTGAGGCAGAGGGTATGCAGCCGGCCGATAACGATGATGAAGGAGAGCAAGGGAGCGGGAGGGGGAAAGAAGATCTCTGGCCTGAAAACATTTCAGAGGGTTGAGAAGAGGAGGAGCGATCCTAGAGAGGTGAAGGAGCTGAAGAGACTGATGTCCTTCACCAGCCTAGCGGATCTGCTAGCGACACTGGAGGGCTTTTACGACCATGACAGAGGTGAGATCCCCCCTCAGCAGGCGGTAGCTGCATTGAATCACCTCAAACGCCTCAAGAAGATGGATCAATCCAACAAGCGCGGGGAGACGCTCGAAGAGAGGGAGGCGGTATGCTTCCGGTTCTATGCAGGGATTGTGGAAAGGGGCATTGGGAGGTTGTCTGCCAAACATGTCGCGCTGGCTCTGAATGCAGTGAGGGAGCGAGACGGATACGAGAGGATGTTTGAGCTGTCAGACAGAAGGATCCGAGTCCTCGCCCAGCAAGCGCTGATGGACAACAAGAGCAAGGTGGAAGCATACTTCGATTCGCAGAACGTGGCCAACATTGTCAACGCATACGCATCAGCAGGCTACGTGAAGAAAGAGCTGTTTGAGCTTCTTGCACAAGTCACTCTTGCCATGAAGCCTACCGACTTCACCCCGCAGTCAGTCGCCAACATCCTCAACGCGTTCGTTCGCTCGGGCGCTGGGAACAAGAACTTGTTTGAGTTTCTCTCGCTGGTGGCGCTGAGCCTCGAGCAGAACGACTTTTCTCCCCAGCACGTCTCCAACATAGTGAATGCGTTTGCCAAGGCGGAGATCCACGACCAGGTTCTCTTCCAGAGGATGTCGAAGATCGCTCTCTCCATCCCGCAGGAAGCGTACTCCATGCAGTCCATCGCCAACATCCTCGGAGCTTTCTCACACTTCAACATCGAAGATGCTGAGCTCTTCCGCTACCTGGCGAACTCGCTGGGGTCAGACCTGGTCGTGAACGAGAAGGACAACTCGAGGCAGGACGTGAGCGAGGTCAGGGCCTCGAGCCCCTTCCGGGAGTTCGGCATGGCCACGTTCGCCAACATCATCAAGAGTCTGGGGAGGGTGAAGTACAAGGACTTCAAGCTCTTCAAGTACTTCACCTCGGTCATCCTCTCCTCTCCTTCCAACCTCTTCGACGCCAAGACCATCGCCGACATCGTCTCGAGCTGGGTGGTATACGCGGAGTCCTCCCTGCAGGAGAAGGGGAGGACCTTGGAGGAGCAGGACGACGAGCTGCTCCGACACATGTGCTCTGTTGCCCTCTCCCTCTGCATCCGGACCAATGGACCGAATTGCATCTCAGATGCTGTACTGATGCTCCCAGCGTTCAGCAAGGTGACCGTTGGCAATGCCTCCTCCTCTACTTCTGATCGTCCTAGTGTTTCATGTCACCCGAAGCTGTTGTCGTTGTTGCTGTTGTTGCTGCTGCTATCTCTCTACATCAGCACAAACTTTGCCTTCTTTTCTCATCACCGTTACCTTCGCTGATATGATTTTGTCTGTCATCGTCTTTACATGAGCAACTGATCATGTTTTCTCCAGTGTCTCGAGGTATCCGCTGCCGGGAAGTTGCAGGTGACGTGGGCGCACAAGATGGGGAGGAGGAGGATGATTATGAGGAGGAGGCGCAGTGGGGCGGCAGGGGGAGAGAAAGGATGAAAGGATGTACATCCGATGACGATGAGACTGAAGCGCTCTCGCAGGGCCCGACTATCTACTGGATCCAAGAACTGATGAGGCAGTACTCTAGGAGGATGCAAGAGCAGGTGAGAAAGGAGGAAGAGGGAAGTGTAGGCAAGGGGAGGGAACAAGGAAGAGGAGGAGGAGGAAGAGGAGGAGGAGGAAGGGGAGGGGAGAGGGGAGGAGGAAGGTGAGGAGGAAGTTGAGATGGAGGTGGTGAAGAAGGGATAGTGAAGAAGGGATAATGGAAGGAGGGAAGCAGGAGCGAGCAAGGAAAGCTGCCGGAGAATCAGGAAGAAGTGCATGTTGTGCTCTTGACAGGGCATGCAGGAACTTGACTCGTTCAGCATCTCCAACCTGCTCGTCCTCGTCTCCGTCTTCTCTAAGTCAGAGATCAGCAACACAGGGATCGACAAGCCGCTGTTCCTCTTCTTCAGCTCTGCCCTCCAGCAGATCCCCCCTGAGGTATGGGGCAGCGAGGACGCTAGAAGCGCCTCCATCATCCTCAACGCGTTCGCAAAGATTCTCCCAGAGGACGAGCTGCTCTTCGATAGCATGGCAACTCTAATCAAATCCTTTGAGGTCACCCTGCTCCTGCTCCTGCTCCTGCTCCTGCTCCTGCTCCTGCTCCTGCTCCTGCTCTGCCTGTGGGCACCTTTTCACCTAGTTCTTCCTCCTGATCCTATTTTCTTCCTCCTTCTTCCTCCTGTTTCATCCTTCATCCTCTAACTCCCCCCCCCCCCCCTTCAAATTGCTGAAATTCTCGAAGGTTGAAGCTTTCGACGCCCAGTCGCTGGCTCTCATTGCCAACTCCTTGTACCGACGATCTCAGACGGTGAGGAGGTCGCCGCTGAGCAGGAAGACGTTCTTGCAGCAGCGAACGAAGGCGGTCAAGTCGCTCCCAGGGTTCGAGAGGGAGAGGGAGAAGGACAAGTGGAGGTCGGGAGAGAGAGGGTTGAGGATGAACGTGGAGATGTTGTACGCCGATGCTGTTGTTGCGGAGGACAAGGCTCCTGTAGGCGAGCAAGGGAAGGGAGCCTTCATCAGCAGCAGGAACGTGCCGGTAACCCTGCAAGATGGCACCTCTTGCCTCTGACTGACATGATGGGATGGGGCGGTGTAGGTGTACCAGGGGGTCAAGTTTCAGGACGCGAGCCTGTTGAGCGACGAGTACCTCAAGGAATTCTACGAGTCCTTCCTAATGAGCTCGAAGAAACGGGAGGCGATGCAGGAGGAGCGGAGGGAGGAAGACGTGTTTGAGTTCCTCGCTCGCGTGTCGACGAGGATCAAGATAGAAGAGTGAGGCTGTTGGTTCTTGGCGGAGGAGAATGACTTGAGACTTCAGCTACTCCCCCGTCTCCCTCGCCCTCCTGTCAAACTCCCTCTTCAGAGAGCTGGAGGATATTCCACGTGAAGTGATTGAGGTCAGAAAAATAGCTGCTGCTGCTGCTGCTGCTGCTGCTGCTGGCTGCTGTTTCTTGGCAGCTCGTGCTCATACTAATTTTTCAGCATATCGCTCGTGCCATCTTGTTTCGCCCGCCGAACGAGTTTGATGAGCAGAACATCGCGAACATCGTCAACGCATTCGGCAGAACAGTTCCTGTGAGTTTTTCCTACTTTTCTTCGGGATGCAACATGTTCCTTGTTTTCTTGTTGACTATGATTGAGATGATTATGAAGATGAAGTAGATTCATCAACGAAGATAGAGGCGTGGTGATGAAGAAAAGGAAACATGATGAATGATTGGTGATTGTGATCAGACGGTTGACGATGTTGTTGTTGTTGTTGTTGTTGATGATGATGATGATGATGATGATGATGTTATTGTTGTTATTGTTGTTGTTATTGTTGTTGTTGTTGTTGTTGTTGTTGTTGTTGTTGTTGTTGTTGTTGATGATGATGATGATGATGTTGTTGTTGTTGTTGATGATGATGATGATGATGATGATGATGTTGTTGTTGATGTTGTTGTTGTTGTTGTTGTTGTTGTATGATGATGATGATGATGATGATGATGATGATGATGATGATGATGATGTTGTTGTTGTTGTTGATGATGATGATGATGGAGATGATGATGGAGATGATGATGGAGATGATGATGCTGAAGGATATGCTGCTGGAGATGATGTTGAAATTTACTGGCGTTGGTGTTGGTGTTAGTGTTGGTGGTGATAAATGTGATTGCAACGACTTAGATCAATCTAATGGTTGTACATTTCTCCAGCAATCCTCCACCAGCCGATCAGTACTCCGTCACATGTCTCAAGCTGCCATGGAGCTGAAGAGCAATTTAGGTAAGACAGAGATGATGTTCCTTGAAGTGAGGAGACGCTTGATCTTTGTTCGAAGTTGACAACAGTCAAATGCATGACAATGTTGACACAAACTACTTCTTTTGTTGTTCCGCCTGTCTGTGGGTCTGACATTTCATTCGTCAGGACATCAAGCCATCGCTAACATCTTTAACGGTTTTGCTTCCTGCGGCCAACTAGATGAAAATCTCTTTCGTGTCCTCGTCAAGTCCACCCTCTCTGTGAGAATCTTCCTCTCTTCTCTCTCTCCTCTCTCCTCTCCCCCACTCCCCTGCTTTTCACCCCTGCCTCTGGCTCCAATCCCCTTGCTTGGACCTCCTCCTCCTCCTTCTCCTCCTCCTCCTTCTCCTCCTCCTCCTCCTCCTCCTTCTCCTCCTCCTCCTCCTTCTCCTCCTCCTCCTCCTCCTCCTCCTCCTCCTCCTTTTCCTCCCCCGTGTGTTCTTCTCTCACGATTCTTTCCCAGCATTCTCGAGGATCCTTCGACGGCCGTGAAATCTCCATGACCCTGCAGGTGATCAATTGAACCCTGAGCAGCTTCCTTGCTCGTTTCCTCTCCCTGTCCCCTCCTGCTCCTCCTCTCTTTTCTGCTCCTCCTCTCTTTTCTGCTCCTCCTCTTCATTCACGACTGTTTTCAGGCCCTTGCTGTTCTCAATAGGCCGTACAAAGACGTCGTTGCATTCCTCAGCCAGGCCGCTGCTCTCATCAATCCAGACAAGTCGCCACTATCTCCTCCCACTTCCTTCCCGTTCTCTCCTTTCTCTTTCTCTACTCCCTTCCTCTTCCCTTCTCCTCCCCTCCCCTCAATCAGTCTCTTATCATCGTTTATTCTCCTTTCCCATCCTTCTCTTCTCCTGCCCCTCCTCTGATCTTGTCCTGCAGGTATGAGACAGAAGAAGTCGGCATGCTCGCTTGGAGCGCTGCTGTCCTCCGCATACAGGACAAGGCCTTTCTCTCAATCCTCTCCTCCTCTCTCTCTCGGTAGACGACTGCTGCTGCTGCTGCTGCTGTTCAACAACCGCCTCCTCTCCTCCTCCCTGTTCTCATCACAGAGCAGGCACATCGTCTTCATGAATAGAGAGACTCTCCGTCAAGTCCATCAATTCTTCTTGTCCTCTGAGCTGGATCCTGACGTCGCTCAAGCTTGCCCTCCTGCTTTGAGGTGTTCAGCTGTTGCTGCTCACCTCCTCCTTCTCCTTCTCCTTCTCCTTCTCCTTCTCCTTCTCCTTCTCCTTCTCCTTCTCCTTCTCCTTCTCCTTCTCCTCCATCTCCTGCTCCTTCTTCTTCTCCTTCTCCTCCTTCTCATTTCCCCCTTCTCCCTGCTTGTTCTTCCTTGTCCTGTTCTCTAAATCTGACTTCCTCCGATAGGCTTGTAAAAGATCTTGACGCCGACAAGTGTCGAGCAGCATTCACGGTCAAATCAACGGACGAGGTGAGTCATTTGACCCTCTCGGACCTCCTTCCCCTTCCATCCTCAACCTTCTCTTCCCTCTCCTCCTCTCGCTCTCCTTTCGCTCTCCTCCTCTCGCTCTCCTCCTCTCGCTCGCCTCCTCTTACTCTGTTTCAGCTTCGCTCCTCTAAGTTGCAGAAGGAAGTCATGAGCGTCCTCCTCTCTATAGGCTTCGAGTGTGAGGAGGAGCATCAGGACCCCCGAACAGGATACACCATCGACATTTACTGCCCTCCCTCCTCCTCCTCCTCCTCCTCCTCCTCCTCCTCCTCCTCCTCCTCCTCCTCCTCCTCCTCACCAGTGGCAATCGAAGTTGACGGTCCCTCCCACTTCCTCCATGGAACGCGTGAGGCGTCAGGCAGCACGGTCCTTAAGCGACGTCACCTCGAGGCAGTCGGTGAGAGTTTCACCTTGTGCGAGAGATTTACCGTTTGCTTCTCCCTCCTTTGCTGTGCTGTGCTGTGCTGTGCTGTGCTGTGCTGTGCTGTGCTGTGCTGTGCTGTGCTGTGCCCTGCCCTGCTCATCTCTGTGACAGGTTATCGTTTCATCTCCATCCCCTACTGGGAATGGGATGCGCTGCAAGGAGCTGAAGAGCAGGAGAAATTCATGCGAGAGAAGTTAAAGTGAAGACTTTCTAGTCATTGAAACTCACTAGATAACAACAAAACAATCTCATTGGATCACAACAAACTCAATCTATCGCTACCGAAATGTCATGTAATGTCATGTCATGTCATATGAAATCATATCACTGTATTTCATTGTCATCTACATGCTTTGTCGTTGACATCAATCCCTTCAACCTCCTTGCAGCCTTCACGAGTCCGTCAAACTCTTCGAACTTCATATTCACAACCTTCAGCCTCCAACGTCAGGACAATCTCAACAAGAAAAATCTCTCCTTTGACCTCTCTCAAGTTGCGCGTTTCGATCTTGCCAGCAAACTTGTCCGTCACATCCACCTCAGCGCTCTGCTCCAACAATCTCATCTCACCCTTATCTCACCCTCCACATGTCAATACACACCACCAGCCTTGTCTTCGCCTCCTGGAACTCGTCTTCTGTGATCTCCTCCTCCAGCTCCTCCTCCACCTAGCGTCCAGTTGTCAACATCTGCGAACAGGCGAACGTGCATCGGCCATCTGCTCACCTGGTGTGCATGTTTGGCTCCTCTTGCTTCCCAGCAGCAATCATGATTGATCTTCACTATCGCATCCACCACCTTCAGCTCCTGCCACCAGCCCATCCCATCAGCCCCACGTGGCGCAAGGGAGGCGAGGAGGTTTCACCGAGGAAGCAAGCTTCCTCCAGTCACTGGAGATTCCTACAACCTCTCCGTCCTGAAGTCCCATCAGAAGGCAGCAGAGCGCGAGCCGGTACAAGTCTCTACCATCCTCTCTACCCTCTCGCTCAGCACGGTGAGGAACAGCTTGACAAAAGCCCAGCTGCGGTCTGAGCTAAGAGGCTGACTCCACTCCACGGGTAGGCTGACTTGCACGTAGGTTGACCCTCGGAAGCCACGTTGAAAGTCAGTTGAGCTGCAGCTGGACTCTTCTCTCTTCACTTGAACGCGCTCAGTGGCCCTGCCAAGGTTGTCAGGGTTGGACTGGGACCTTGTCAACTTTGACGAGCGGACCTCTCCAGGCTTCTCTTCAGCACGTCAACAACCCCTGCCTTCCCTATGATCTCAGCCTCCATGCTTATTTCACCGCTCTCCCCAGCTGCAGCGGAGCAGGACGCCAGCTGGAGGATCATCTCAGCCACATTCTTCATCTTCAGCTGGGCACGGATCGGATCGTATCGACCGCCGTGACGAGCTGAGAAGGACAGGCTGTCAAGGTCAAGGCTCGAGTGCGGGTTGAGCAGGGTGCTCTTTCCAGCTCGCAGCCTGCAGGCGAAGTTTGCACGGGGAAGGAAACGAGCGTCCGAGAAGAGGAAGCAACATCTCTCCTGCTGCACAACCATCCTGACCATGAGGTGGAGGGACCTGCAGCACGGACTTGTCACGAACTTGCTGGTCAGGAGGCGGTGCAGGAGAGCACCTGGCAGTTCTGAAGATGCGAGAGATTATGTTGTTCTGATCCTCGTTGATGTCGGGCAACCTGAGACCGTCTGGACAGACTTTCACTACCCAATGGTCTTCGTCGTCTGAAATTCTTTCATGGATGCTGAGAATCAGTTTGTTGTTGTTGTAATTGTTGTAATTGTTGTTGTTGTAATTGTTGTTGTTATTGTTATTGTTGTTGTTGTTGTTGTTGTTGTTGTTGTTGTTGTTGTTGTTGTTGTTGTTGTTGTTGTTTTCAATCTTCTGTCTTAACACTCCATCACGGCAGCTGCTGCTGTTGCCGTTAGTGGTGTTGACATCCTGTGAGAAGTCCGTACGGAAGAATTCATTCAGCACTCGCACGAACTCGTTCTTCCCATCTGCCGCACACGAAGGAAACGAGACCAAACAAGCATCGAAACCAGACGGTTGGGTGAACATCTGCAGCAGGGGACCTGTATGGACTTGAAGGGCGTCTAAGGAGATGTTGGACAGCGCGACCTTGACGGCGAACGACTGCTGAGCAAGAGACAACAAGGTCTTGTGCTCCTCTGCGCAGCACAGCAACTTGCGGAGGTATGCAAGAGAGCCGTTGGCCTCCTCCTCCACCTGCGCTACGTCCTCATACGAGGTGAGGAGGAAACTCTTCACGTCATCGAGCTCCTTCTCGTCAAACCAACCCATCCTCATCCCGATCGCTTCTCTCATCATCTCGCGCATAGCGAGCTTCCAGACGCTGTGGGAGCACTCCATCGCGACCTCCTGCTGCAGGCAGGACTCGGAGGGCAAGTTGGTGGAGGAGAAGGAGCAGCGGACCTTGACATGCTGCTGTGTGGCTGTTCGGATCGCCTGCTCTGTCCTCCTGGCAAAGATGATGCTGAAGATTGAATCGATCAAGACCCGCTCTAGGTCGATCTTAGTCCGCATCCCTCCAGACATCTCCTTGCTCAGCCACCTGCAGCGGAACAGGTGCTCATCCTGATTCTCCCTTCCTCCTCCTGCTTGCTGCTCTTCCATGCCCTGCTCCTCCTCCTCTCCTCTTCCCTCCACATCGATTGTTCCCCTCTTCACAATCCCTCCGTCCTCGGGGAGGAAGAAGCCACGATCAGTCCACAGAGCTAGCGGGCCCTTGTCGAGAGGTGGCATCATCCATAAAACCTCGTCCTGCTCTATCCAGAAGACCGGAGGGTCGTTGGGGTCGATGGGGTGGGGGAAGAAGCGAGGGGTGGCAAGGGCCTCCCCAAACGTCGCGCGGATCTTTTCCTCCGTCTCCTTCATGTCGAAGCTGCCGACGATGAAGATGTCTGTTCCTGACGCGAAGTACTGCATGTGGTAGAAGTTGAGGAGAGAGGAGAAGTTGAGGGCAGGGAGGAGCGATGCGTTCCCAGGAGGAGGGTGGGAGTGAAGAGGGTGAGAGGGAGGGTGGAGGAGCTTGCTGCATTCTATCTCTTGTCGTCTCCTCCTGCCGCCCCTGTCGCGTCTCAGTTGCTCGACACACTCTCCGAGCGTCTTGCTGAACATCTCCTCATTCACGGTGGCGTTGAACGCGATCTCATGCATGTGCGACAAAACTTCCTGCACAACCTCTCCCCTCACCTCTTCGTCCTCGTCCGCCTCCTCGCCTGCAGCAGGAAGACACACGTACTCGAAGTAGGTCGCCCTTGGCGTCACCAAGGACAAGCAGTCGCTGCCCATGCGCTCGTCCCCTGGCACGAGAAGATCTCGACTGGCTGGTCTGGTACGTCCTGCTGCCATGGCGAGGCAGCGCCGGAGAACGTTGGCTGCACCTTGTTCGCCCCTCCCCTCGTCCAACGAACCCGCGTTCATCTTCATCACAGCTCGCAGAGGAACTTTCCTGTCCTCGCACTGCAACAGCGCGTACCTGACTCCGTTCTGCAAGCATCCTTTCCGCAGCTGCGGGTGCTCGGGCAACAGGGAGCTGTCATCCACCTTGCCCTTCTTCCTCCTCTCCTCCTTCTCCTCCCCCTTCCAGCTCTCTTCCTTCTCCTTCTCCTTCTCCTTCTCCTTCTCCTCCTCCTCCCAGTCTGCTAGCACTCCTGACTTCTGCAGCTCGTCGCACTCGTTGGAGATTTTCTGGTGGAGAGAATGCAGGGATGCCACCTGGTACCGCGCCGGAACCTCCACGTCCAGCTCCTCCAGCACGGACAGCAGCATCACTTGCTCCCTCCCCGAGCCGAAGGTCAAGCTCGCCCCCAGCAGCCTCTCGCACACCCCCGTAAACTTCTCCTGCACCTCCTCGGAGGAGGACGGCAGCCCTGACTTGGCCAGGTGCCCAAGAATGTCCAGGCTCCTCCTGATCCCCAGGAAATCTCCTTCCTCCGCGATCTTCGCGCAGCTGGACAGGAGCTGGATGTACTTGTCCATCTCAGCTCGCCCTTGTGCGATGACCTCCTGGTACTGCCTGAAGATCGTCTCGGCCCCAATGTACTCTCCTTCTTCGTCCTCCCCTCCTCCTCGCAGCCGGATCAGCACCGACGTCATCCCCCCTGCTCTGCAACCCATCCTCGTCACCCCTGCTCCTCCTCCTGCTCTCCATCCCTCCGCATGCATCCCTAGAGCGATGCAGACCATGACGACGATACGCCCCATCGGCATTTCAAGGGGGGCGGGGAGGGAATGGAAAGGGGCCGGATGGAAGGGTCTCAACAAACGACTAGGAAAAGGCCTTTTCCTAGTAGGAGGGAGGATGGGAGAGGGGCAGGGGGAGGGAGGGAGAGAGGTTCGAATGAAAGATGCTGGTACTTGACAGTAAGAACAGACGACTTTGTGAAATCATTGCATTTCGTTTCGTTCTTTCTTTGTACACAAACATGAAATATGCACGGAGCGGCCTCCTGCCCCTTCCCCTCCTCCTACTCCCGCTCCTTGTTTCGCTCCACTTTTCCAGCCTCCAACAACCGCCATCTGATTCTTCACCTGACCGCATTAGAATGTGAAGGTGTTTTTCTTATGCTGATATCTCTCCAGCAAAACAAGTCGAACCCGAGACCCGGCCTAACGAAGAGGAGGAAAGATGAGAATGGTAGCATTTACAGGATGTGAGGATGATGATGATGATGATGATGATGATGATGATGATGATGATGATGATGATGATGATAAGGAGGAGGTAATGGTGGAAGAAGAGCACGTGGGAGGAGGGATGAAGATCAACATGGCGCGAGCACTGTAGCATGCATAGGACGATGACAGAGAAAATCAGAAGGGATCAAGAACCAAGAAACAGCAGAAGATGAAGATATGCCAATCACGTTTCCCGTCCCTACCTGTCTTCGCAGCAGCTGCACAGCCATATCATTGCTGCGCCCTGTTCTTCATACTAAGGCGGGGAAAGTGAGGAAGAGCGAGAAAAGCGACCTTGCAAGCTGATGTCGCCGATTTTCAAGAGCACATCTCCGGCCTGATATCAACAGTCAGGATGACTCGACACTGCTGACATGGTGGTACCTTGATGTCACTCTTGTCTTTCAATACTGCAGGAGACACCAGCAGCGATCACAGCAGTGTGAGAAAGCAGCAGCACTCACACCAATATGAAGATGCAACAGATACAGGAGAATAGAAACTCAGGAAAACATGGCAAGAGAACTTGAGGACAGAAAAATACATCACAGCGCAAAGAATGCATTGGCAGGCTTGCTCAAGAGCGCAAACTCTCTCCTGATTACCTAAGGGGTCGACGTAGGAGACGACATGCTGATAGCCGTTTTCTTCCCCATCGTTAGACCTTTGTGGAACAAGCATGTACTTGAGCCGTATGGGAGAGTTGTGCTCATCAAACTAGCAGCAGCAGCAGTATCAGCCTCATTCCTCTCCTTCTGCGCCTTACTGTGTTCGGAAAATTCACGCTGATCTCCTTGACAGTTTCCACTTCTGCAGGAGAAGGAGCATCGTCACAAGGGCAAGCAGAGGAGGGAGGGTCACCTGTAGTCTGGCACACGGTCTGCCAGGCGTTCTTCATCGGGGGTGAGCTGAGGGAGTTGCGGTCATATAGTCTACTGCTCTTGTCGTTTCACACGCATTACTGTTGCTCTGCGCGGGAGTCTGGGCTGACCAGCTTGCTGACGCTATCTGTCGGAGTTGTCAACAGCAGAAAGGCAAGAATTTCAGTGGGACAAGTTTCAAGCACCGGGTCCGCGGGACTCTGACTTTGCTGGTGAGAATGCTGTGTAGTGGCTCGACCTGCACAATGTCAAGATCAACAGCATCCTGGCGCCTTAGCCCTTGTTACATGTCGTTGTTCGAAGCGTATCGCTGTCCTCTTGGTGTCATGCACCTTGCAAGGAGATCAGCATAATCGTCCAGGATAGTTTCCCTTCACCGCTTCTCCAGGTTGAACACCATTTCATGTCTGATAAAAAAACGTCAAGTTAGCAAACTTTGCAAGAGAGAGCAAGAAGTTCCTGTTGTTCATAGCTGCAAGCATCATGGGTGTCCTATTCTCCCTGTTTCGACAGAAGTCATAGGAGACAAGAAGCGTCATCAACTTGTGAGAGAGAAACAACATCTCTTGCTTACTTGTCATAAGCCCACAGGTCTGCGCCGAGAGACAGAAGCAAGTTTGAGGTGTCGATGTGGCCTGTTTGTGTAATCAAATGAGGAGAGTAGAGGATCAAACTTGAGTTTTCTTGACCGTTTGCTGCTGCAAGATGCAATGCAGTCCGACCGAACTCATCTCGATCGTGGACTGAACAGTCGCCACTCTATCGACACATTTCAGGAGGATACAGCAACAGCACTGTCAACAGCACCTTGACGAGGTGAGAAACAAACTCTGTATCTCCTATCTCTGCTGCTATCAACAGAGAGCGTCGTTTGAGGTCTGCAATGACGATAAGTTTGCCCGACATGTACGGACCAAGGAGACCGACCGCTATCAGACATAATCGGCATTCCGCTCTCTTCGTCTCCTTCTTTGGCCGCGTTGCCTGCGTGCCTGCTGCTCTCAACGTCGCATGCAAACTCCTTCCAGTTATCGCTGACAAGTGGCCGCTGGATTCCTCGGTGATATACCTCATTCCGCTCGTCCCTCGGTCGTTGCTCGCAGCATGCATCTTGCAGACAGGGTCTCGACGACGCCAACCCCATGTGCTGAAATCCGTGGGTGCTGTATCCTCAAACCCTTCCTCTGATTCTCGGAGTAACGTCGATCGGAATGTCGACCTGTTTAGATTGTCAAATGCACCGAGATGCTACCATGAGGCAACAGCGCATTGTTGTTGAACTGTTCGCTCTTGTTCCCCTCGAAGCTCTATACCCCATCTTTCACGATTCTAATCATATGGCTCTTTGGATTGTCAAACATGTTGCAAATCGTGAGGGATGGTAGAGGTGGATAGTGTTGAGAGATGAAGGGGTCGAGGAAGAACAGCAAGCATGGAGGACGTTGCTCATGGAGATAGTCATGCAGTTGGGGGTAATGGTGGTGTGGGTGTAGGTGGTTGAGGTGGATGAGGTGGTGAAGGAGTAGATGGATGGTGGTCTAGGTGAAGGAGGTGAAGGAGGAGGTGGTGGTGAAGGAGGAGGAGGAGGTGAAGGAGGTGAAGGAGGAGGTGAAGGATGTGAAGGAGATGGTGTTTGAGGAGGAGGTGGTGAAGGAGATAGAGGCGAAGGAGGTGAAGGAGGAGATGGTGCTTGAGGAGGAGGTGGTGGTGGTGAAGGAGGAGGAGGAGGTGAAGGAGGTGAAGGAGGAGGAGTAGGAGGAGATAGAGGCGAAGGAGGTGAAGGAGGAGGAGGTGCTTGAGGAGAAGGTAGTGGTGGTGAGGGAGATAGAGGCGAAGGAGGTGATGGTGCTTGAGGAGGTGGTGAAGGAGGAGGAGGAGGTGAAGGAGGTGAAGGAGGAGGTGGTGCTTGAGGAGGAGGAGGTGCTTGAGGAGGAGGTAGTGGTGAAGGAGATAGAGGAGAAGGAGGTGAAGGAGAAGATGGTGCTTGAGGAGGAGGAGGAGGAGGAGGAGGAGGAGATATCGGATGGAGGGATGATGATGAGACCAACTTGATTTGATTCCGGATTATCCTTCATAGGGGTGGGTAGGGAGGTATGCCTCCGGTCGAGTACCCTCTATTACTCCAAATTTGAATGATCCAATATAGGGTGGGTACTTTGATGTATGGGTAGGGTAGTAAACTTGTGGGATCACTACGAGACACAATGCAGGAGTGCGTGAAGGGAGGAGAGAAGCACGAATAAGCGAAGTAGCAGGAAGAAGAGAGAAGAGAGAGGACGCGGGAAGAGAAGAGAAGAGGTCATGGTGGAAAGGAGATAGAACGAGAGAGAAGAGAAGGGAAGGGTGCAGAGATCCTTGAGGACAGGAGAGTGGAGAAAAGGTGGGTGAGGTGAGAAGATAGTGCAGAGGTGACTAGGGAGAAGCAGATTTTGCAGCAGAGTCGTATAGACAGGAGGGAGGGCAGGAGATCGCATTCAGGAGGAGATGAGGTGGGGAAGTATGACACATGCAACATGAAACTTGTTCGCAAACCAACTGAAGCAGAGCAGTTTGGTTGTAGAGTTTCATGAAATAGGAGAGATCAAATGTACTGAGAAGGTAACTGCCTGCCATTCAGCGCTCAATTCTCAAGCTTAGCGAAGCTTCCGTAGCTGCAGTCACCATTGTTCACAAGAGGGGGCATAAGGATGATTCATTACCGCAGAGTTTGTCCTCCATTGCACTCGCTCACTCACTCATTCTTCAACATTTCTTCATCTACATCCGGGACGGACACCTGGACGGGCATTGCGGTCAGCCGTCTGGAGCAGCAACTACCAGGCCCTTACAAGCAGCTCCTGCATGCGATCCTTGTGGAGAAATTTTCCTCTGCGTTGCCCCATGTCACCCGGCGGGAGAAGAGAGACAAGCTCACCTCATGTCGATCATGAGCGTGTTCTTCACTGAGCCGCCGACGTAGACGGGCAGCATGGGGGCCTGCAGGGCGGATGAGGAGGAAGAGGATTGCGTTCCATGTGCTTCACCGCTCCCGCTGCCTCCTTGTCGATGTCGAACTCGCCGTACGCTGACATGACATCATGGAGGGAAATAGTAGAAGAAAGAGGAAGGAATACCGGCGGTGATGGCGTAGAACTGAGAGCACAAACAAGAGGAGGGAGAGAAAGAGAGGAGGGCAGCGTGAGTAAGCGCAAATAGACTTCAACGGCTCCACTCACCTCTTTCGCTGGAAGACGATGCACAGTCACGCCCGAGGGAAAGCTCATGACATCAATCTCGATCTCATCTTTGAACAAGAGTTACCCTCGCCTCCGTTACCTCTTTCATCATCTCCAAACCCATGGCTACCCTGCCCCCCCCACCACCCGCCCCTCCTCTCCTCCACTTATGGAGACCAGGCATTATCTACAAACATGTCCTCACCTGGGGAATGAGGAGACGAGGAGACTCTGACGATCTGCTTGGTAACAAACGCGCGCGCCCCCATCGTAATGGTACAACCGAACCCAACGATGATGCCGCTAAGGAAAGCACGGCCCTGCAGTGTCCATCCTGGAAGCCATGCGCTGGACGCCGCCTGAACAAAAGCGTCACAGAATGTATGTTGGGCTGTCAGTCTGTACCGCAGGATGGAATGCAAGCAGTCCCCCCACCAAACAGCAGATGGCGGTCTGTGCGACGCTTCCCATGGCAAGGTTCTGAGATGAGTCGCATCACCGATGGCGCATCATCGAGCGTCTCAGCTCACCTGGAGGGTGCTGATCGAGCGGCTCTCGTACATGACCTCTCTATCCTTGCTGGGCGTGCTCATAGCGCGCAATCCTTTCAAACCAAATCTCACGCCACAGGCATCCACATATCCCTCCTTACCACGTCCGACTGTCAAGCACGACTGGGTCGCTGAACGGGAAAGCAAGCTTCTTGAAACTCCATGAAGGAGGGCATGGCGAGGAAGGGGAGTGCTTCTCCCAGTCTCGTCATGCCGAATCTGTCGTCTGTCCATGAACGTCCTGCAAGCAGACGGAGCAGATCGGCAAACTTTGCAGGAAGAATGCGTCCATGCCAGAGAAAATGAAGCCAGCGGACGGGACGCGATCTTCCAAGAGGAGGGAGCTATAAGCTTGACAGCATACAACGATTGAGGGAGAGAAGGCAGGGAAGGATAAGTCTTCCTTCTTCCTTGCATGTACGCCACCTCTAGCACCGCGGCTCCTAGCATTGTACCTAATCGAGGGAGGGCAGCTGATGGGAAAATAGCTGCCTACGATATGAACATTTCTCTGCCTTTTTATTTCAGTGTCCTTTCAGCGAGGCTGGCTCGTGTCTATCCTTCAATCTCTCTGGCATGCAGCCTGCCGCCGCTGAGCCGCATGTCATCATCGGCAAGTCACTGCTCGTTGCTGCCGCGAGGTGACTCAGCATGTCCGAGTTCGAGTTCGAGTTCAGCTCAACTGGCTCGGCACGATGAGTATGCCACTGAGCTTACATTGAACTCGCCGAGTCGGAACACAGTGACTCAGTCGCAATCACGGGCCACACAGCCGCGGCCTATCACTGAGGTTTTGGGTAACTTGAAGGTCATGGTCGCTGTGAATTCAAGCGATGATTTGTATATTCATGATCTACGCTTTCCTATTGAAGGATTGTTCGTCTCATATATTTTACAAGATTATACAAAAAAATAAAATAAATCAAGTCATCGATTCTAGTATCAGACGTGATTACTATCCTAGATATTCCATTTGTTTTACATGTCAACAACTCTCCGAATCATCAAGAAGTGCTTCGTGTGATCCATTCTCCGAAGATCTGCGTGCAAAAAGGACCAGTTTCAGGTGTTGGCAAAACAAACAAAAATCTTTCTCTAGCCTAAAATGAAAACGATGCTTTAACTTTCTAAGCTTCGAGTAAAGTGAGTCAGAAGAGGCCTCGTGTAATTCTTCATTGATGTCGCTCAGCTATAAGCGAATGAATTAACGATTTCTTCATCATACTCAGCGAGTGATTGTAAGAAATCGTACTCAGCGAGTGATTGTCGCTCTTTTCAGACTAGGGAAATACACATGGATTCATTTTCTAGATTTTCACGCATATCGCACACATAATCAAAGTCTTTGCTGACGCAATCAAATGTGCAACGGATTCAATCTCACCTCTTCATCAGGCCATTCGAAAACTCTTGATGACGTCGAACAGAGGATCGACAGAAGATGACAAAAGAGCCACAATGCACGGATGCATCGGTTGAGCGAAAAATATTAGATCACCACCGATGCTCTGACTCCGAGAATATTGCGATTTTATCGTGCCATCACGGCCTTGTCCTCCTCGTTGTAGGGCTGTTTCTTCATGGCCGCGGCAACCTTACTCGTTTCCCCCTGCAATCCCTGCACTATTCCCCAAGTAAAATCCCTCAAGTCCCTTTTACACGGGTGGTGGGGTGGGCCAACACAAGGGGTACTTGATTCAATTAGTAGGGAGTATGTGGAAATTTCTCATGGGACCAAGGGGGTGGGTGATTTGTCTTGAAACGCGCTGGCCTCAATATTTGAATTAGCATGATGAGAAGACAGAAAAATATTGGACAAGGAGAATAGAGACTCGACAGGGCAGGTGAAAGTGGTCGCCCTGTGGTCAGGAGATGCCCTGTCGATATTTAAAAGAGCTGGCCATAACAGATATCGTAGGTAGTCATGCATAGGATGAACTCGTTTGGGAATTGGGAACAAGGCTCGTAAAATTCTATGGTGGAGTCTCGAATGGCATAGTCTGGGTGATATGCATCATCCATTAGAGCAGCAATTAGAATATCGTTTAGGTAGAGGGGTATGTGAACCAGTCACAAGCAAGCAACTGCACTCATGCCTGCCGTCAGCATGTCAGCATGGTTAACACTTCACGGCAACATTGGACCACCACCCCTATGGCTGTGGTAAAACGTCAGGGTGCATTTTTACTTGAGAAGTGGTTTGAGGCCTCGAGATGCGTCAGCAAAACACAGCAACTTTTAGCCTACTAGCCGGTACTAACTGATATAATACGTTTCAATAATATGAATCCTCAGAGGTACTGTTTCCTTCTCGGTGGTTTGATGATCAGTAGCAAATATTCGGATATGAACAATTATTCCGGTATGTCTAAAAAAAATGTATACGGAGTATCTTGTGATTGTGGTTCAAAACAATTAATTCCACGTATTTAGTGTATCAGTAGATCGGTACTTGTTTGTATAAACAAGCCGAGGCCAACCGTACCAAAATTACTACTCAAACTTTACTACGGGGGTCCGATGTCCTGCTGACAAGAAACTCGCTTACATCCGATACATCAAACCAACCACCGGTGGTAGAAAGTACTACCCCTTTTGATATGGCCTACCATTGTCAAGTCAACTCCACCCAGAATTTTCATGATGTTTGCTACCCCTGCCCAATTTACATCTGTTTGAGGCTTATCAAATAACCGGTGTAGTGACTACCCCAAATCATCACTACCCACCCTTTTCCATTGATGACCCCACCCATTCTCTCAAAATACGGTCACCCACCCCCTGTTCTTCGAGACGCGACATCCGAAATCCTTTCCGTTCCTGCTCCTTCACCCTCCTTCGAACCAACCTCGGACCCTCCTGTTCTTCTTCCCGCTTCATATCGCTTTGTTGTCTTGCTTTCTCGAGCTTCGTCTCCACTGTTACATCCCTCTCGCTCAATCCTACCTGAACACCATCGAGGCCGCGTGTTGTAGCATCTTCCCATCTATCGGGGTGCGAATATTGTTTCACTGGGAAAGACTCCTTACGTCCTCGGATGCCTCTGGTTTATGTATCTGACCTGGAGCTCTCTGTTGCTCTTGGGGCTCGCAGATCGGGCCTTCATGATCGAGCTTTGCATGATGAATCGATTGGCGAAGAGAGCAAGACCAGCCTTGACTACTTGAACGAGGAGTCCTCAAACTCTCCTGATCTATCGGAAACAGGGTACGAAGGTATTGCCCCTGAATCAAGGCAGCAGAGTATCCATTCGTTGAACGGCAACAGAAAACGGAAATTTTCCAATTCAAGCCAAAACTCTTATCGGAGTTCGAGCCAACGACGTGCTCATCGTCGGGATCGGACTCGCAGCGGCAGCATTGAGAACAGAGAGGAGGTGCCACCTTTAGGACCCGTCCTCAGAACAGCAGAAAAGCTTCCGATAGCATACGGCGGCCTGTCGGAGTACTTCATTAGCGAGCTATATTTGAGGAGCAGGAAGACTACTCGTCCCGACCCTGTGAATCCGCCCGCCTCCTCCTACGCCATCGGTCAGTTGCAGTCAACCGAGGGTGATGGGACCGACGTTTGCGCGATCTGTCAATTGGCGCTTTGCGAAGGGACCAAGGAGATGCCGTGCGAACACTGTTTTCACGAGCAGTGCATTACGAACTGGCTGCAAATTCACAATACTTGCCCCTGCTGCCGCTGTGAGGTCGAGTCGTGCAACCCTCGCTACAATCGCCTAAATCATCATCAAATGAAGGGAGAAGTGCGGGAGGAGGCGATGATGAAGGCTGAAGGGGTAGGGAAACAATGGGTAGAGGTTTGCAACATTAGGGAGCTCATGAACACGGTGTCGGAGTCCGGAGCACGATGCTTCATGACGGACGCTACTGGAACTAGGAGGTTAGCATGGGGGACTGAGTACTATGATGCGGATTTCAGGCCATTGTTCTGATTTCTCGCCAAAGTTAACGATAGAATGTGTCGATTGAAGAAGTGTTTTAGTACAGTGAGTCAAACACACGATCCCCACAACACCTTTTTTATTCACCATATTCAAAACAGATTACACTATATTACAAAGGGTTATGCAAAGCTTTTCAAAAGTCAGCACGGCACGAGGGACAGGACAGATCAGATGAAGCTGTAACATTGGAGGGGATTCAGTTCAGCAGTTACAGTCTCTGGTAATCCTCCTCCGTCTGATTGAGAAGTCCGGGATCCTCGTGAGACTCACGCACAAGGACAATCTGCCTCGGGGGAGTGCGGAAGCAGCACATCAACGTGCATGCGCTCATCATGGCTGCGGCGTCGGAGTTAGTCCCAGAGACGCTGCAAATGAGACACTTACCCACGATGCAAATGAAGATGAGGAATAGGAGAAAACCAACTCCCTCGAGAGAGAGCAGGTGAAGGAAGACATTCACCACAGGGCAGACGTTCGATGCACAAACACAGTCCTGACTGCCGGCCTGGCATACCCTGTGCTCGGAACATCAGAACCATGACAGACGAGACTTGGTTGATCCATCACTTGTCAGGGCAGAAGCCGAAAGCGTGTGCCTTGTACGCCTTACAGAAGTCTGTGGTAGAGTTGTAGATCTTGATGCATGCTCCCTTCACGTCTGCGTTCCATTCATCGAGCTCCACCGTGCACCAACCACAGGGTGTGCAGGTTTGGCTGCCATCGGGGTTCAGGACACATTCCTGAGCATCGGATGTCAGAGGAGAGAAGACATTTGAGTGCGGTAGATCACCTGCTTCATGAAGCACTCGAGACAATCTGTTGCGTCACTGCATTTCATAGGAGCGTCGGAAGCAGTGGAAGGGGCTGAAAGCACGAGCAGCAGAAAGAACAGGCGCATCATGATCCTGGCGAAAAGTAAATCAAAGTCGATGTCAACATTTGTTATTTGCATCGGATAAGGATAACGGAGCAGGCATCCTAAAAGTGAAAACAATTGCAGATTATAACAAGCAGAGGAGAAAGTAGCATGTTCAAGGTATTGCTGTTGAGATGAGAGATAAGTAAGAATGGAGAAGACAAGGTAAGATGGGGAGGGAGGAGGCAAGAAGGGAGGGGAGAAGAGTCTATGGGACATGAGCAATAGGGAGGGGAGGGGGGGAGAGGAGGGGAGGGGAGGGGAGCGAGAGGAGGGGGAGGGAGGGGGGGAAGGAGGAGGAGGGAGGGGAGGGGGAGGGGAGAGGAGGAGGAAGGGAGGGGAGGGGAGAGGAGGAGGGGAGGGAGAGGGGAGAGGAGGAGGGAGGGGAGGGAGGGAGGGAGGGAGGG